TCTGTTCATGTCTTTCCATTCTCCCTCTCTTGAACCCACTCCCATCAGGCTTCACCCATGGTACTGCTCTTAAAAAGTTCTAGTTAGGGCCTCCCCTGGTGGCGCAGCGGTTGAGCGCTGGTCTGCGAGGCTGCCTGTAGCCTCTGCAGCACCCGTTGTATCCCTGGCCGCCAGGCGAGGGTCTCACATGGCGCGCAGACCTCTCCTGCTGCCTGTGGCTCCCCTCAGCAGTGTATTTCATCAGTCTGCCTGTTCTGTTGCCCGCTCTGGTGAACTCTCTCACCCTCCCACACTTCTGACTGTACCCAGTGCTTGTATAAATGAATAAATAAATCTTAAAAAAAAAAGAATACTTTATAAAAAAAAAATTTCTAGTTAAAGTCAACAGTGACCTCCAAATTGCTGAATTTAGCAGTTATCTCTCACTCAACCTGCCCTGTTAAAGGTTTTTCATGGCTCCAGACACATGTTCCCCTGGTTTCACTCCTGCCTTCCCAGCTGATATTTGACTCCTTTACGGCTTCCTCCGCAGCCTCTTGAACTCTTATGGGCAGGGAACCCAACGACTTGGAAGCGGGATTCTCTGTCCACCCTCATTTTTATTTTTTAAAGATTTATTTATTCTTGTACAAGAACCGGGGTACAGGCCAGATGCGCGGGAGTGTGAGAGGATTCACTGGAGACAGAGCGGGGAACAGAACAGGCAGACTGAAGAAATACACTACTGAGGGGAGCAGCAGGCGAGATAGGAGAGGTCTGCTTTGCCATGTGGGATTCTCGCCGGCTGGCCGGGATCGAACCCGCGCTGCAGAGGCTGCAGACAGATTCACAGTGCGGCGCTCAACCGCCTGCGCCACCAGGGAGGCCCCTGTCCACCCTCATTTCTAAGACAATCTTGTCTATCACTTTAAATACCATCTCTGCAATGGTCCCGAAGGTTTATCCCTTGCTCAGCCCTCTCCCCTGAATTCCAGGTTTGTATGTCCAGCCACCTACTTGTCCATCTGCAAATTCAGAGGGGCAGTGGACATTTCAGACATAACAGGTCCAAAGTCAAAGCCAGATTTTCCTTGTCCTCAGGTGTTTCTCCTTGAATCTCCATTTCTGTACATTGCACCTTCATCCTTAGTGCCTCTGGACAGAAATCCTGAATGTTAGTTCTCTCAATCCCCACATTAAATCCCACAGGAAATCCTATTGGCTTTACTTTGAGAATATATAGAACCTGATCATCTCTCCTCCTCTCTCAACCTCTCCCTTCATCTTGCTGGGTTATTACCATGGCCCCCCTTACATGTTTTTCTGCTTTGCTTTTGCTTCCCAAGTCTCTTGTGAACACCGCAAGCAGTGTGATTCTGTTCAATATCAAGCAACTTAAGCCTCTGCACAGAACCCTTCACAGTCAAACTCACATGCCTGAAAACAAACCCTGGCCTCCCCTGCATCCCTGATTCCAACTACAAACCAGGACCACGTTACCTCTCTGACCACTTCTGCCCCCGCTACCTCCCTAGCCCTAATAAGCTGTCTTTCCTGTTCCAGCCACCCAGGCCATTCTGTCTTCCTCACTGTTCGTCAGGGTGTGTGGGAGTTGTTCTTTCTGACCCACAGACTTTTCCCTCAGATGTCTACAAGGGCCCCCTCCTCCGGTTTCTGTCAGTTGTCACATTGCTGAGACTGTCCATGCCGACTTTCAAGATTACATCACCTCTCTTTCTCTCCCTATCCCCCTTGTCTGTTTCACGCCTTATATTTTACTTATTTGTTCTCTTTTTCATCTGCTCTAGATTACAATTTCTTTGAAAACAGATTTTTGTCTCCTTTGTTTCACGCTGAATCTCCCAGCAGGATGCTTGTCACTTGTTGCTGGCCAATATGTATTAAACAAATGAATGAATGAATGAATGAATGAATGAATGAATGAATGAACAAGAAAGATAGTTTGGAGGAAAAGAGACCAATTAGAAGCCTGAAGTCCACTGGGGAGCTTAGTTTAATAGATCAGGCAAGAGGCTAGTCATTCTTTTAATTGATACTTTCCTTGAATATTCATTTTCCTTTATGTCTCTTTCGCAGTGAGACTTAAAACCCATTGAAATCAAGGACTAAATTCTTATACTTTTTTGTTTCCCCAGCAAATAGATGTTCAATGATAAAAAGTAATTTTCATTTGGCTAAAACCACTCAAGTCACCTTTGTTTTTTTTAAGTCTTTTTTCCTTGTGCTAGCATTTTCCAGTTCCTTTTTTTTTTTTTTTGTATGGCAAAATTTGCATATTGTCTTATTTGAATACTCTTGCAAAGCAAGAGTCTTTCGAATAAATAGGGTTAATCTACAAAGTAGTTACAACAGTAGTACCAAGGTAATGGTTGCTTCAGCATGGCCCAGTGGAAGTACTGTCAGGCAACAACAGCCGGAGCTGCTCACAGCCACTGCTTGGCAACTGTCACGTGTCACGGCTTTAATCAACTCTGGGGCAAGAATCATTACATTCTAACAGATGGACATGAATTTAACCAGACAATAAACCATGTATATGCCATAAATATGCTTGCTGAGGGCATGATTCCCAATACAGAACTTTAAGAACAGCTGTCTTATCATGAGCTGTTTCTTGGTGAGATGATTTGTTAACCTAATTCTGAAACAGATTATAAAGTTGATTTTTTTGTTGACTCCCCCACTATCAGAAACCTAGTTATTTTGGGGGACAATTTGTATAAACAAAAGTTATTTACATTAGATTTTTTGCAACAAACAATAGGTTTCCTTTGCAAATTTGGTGTCATTTTGTCTAAAAGGGTTTGCTATATTTTGTGTGTTGCCATGGGATACAAATCATTAATTGTGAGCGGTTATTTTTTTCCTCATGCTTTTTCCTTTTACTAGTTCTGCTAAACTATGTAAACAGTTTTAGCTGTACTGTTCCTTAAAAATCCATTTCTTTTGTCTTTCCACTTCTTTCGTCATTAGCAGCAGAGATGCTTTCAGTCTCTCAGCATTGCTTTCCCTGTGGAACTTTTGTAAATTAAAATATGAAATATACATTCGTTTTGCATTCTTTAGAGGGTAACTTCTATTGATGTACATTGGCATGATCCGCCAGGCAAAGTATAAATTGCTGTAAAACTGGAAAAGTGTTTGAATGAGGAAAGCAGCTGTTCTCTTAGCATGAAGCAGATGTAAAACTTGCAAGTATCTGTCTAATAAAGTATAGCATTTGGTTCTATACAGCTGGTGCCAAGATTACCAATTAATCATGTTTGAATGCATTTTTACTAATTAGGTCCCCCTCTGTTCTTTACACATTCTGGGGATATTAAATAGAGGGGCGGGGCACAAAAATTTTCTATTTTTAGTACTTAGAGCAATGTTTTTTTTTTTCCTTTCCCCCCATCTTGATGAAGTCTATCTTTTCTTCTTTGTCATATATGAAGCTCCTATATGTGAAAGACTGACTTAGTTCTCCATTTTATTTTGGGGTTCAGGCTTGACATTAGAAAACTCTGTTGAAGGCAGCCAAACTTTGAACACTTAAGGCAGTGGGAGAGAAGGGAATATAATCAAAATTAATGCTTTTATTTTAATTGTATGACAAAAGCTAATATTTGCTCACTTAGCATCTATTCATAGCTTTTACAGTTTCATCGACCAAGTACAAGTTTGAACATTCTAGAAAAAAATGCTACCATTTAGTTTTATTTTACCAAAAGCAAGAAACCATTTTTTTCCTCAAAGATTAAAAATGAATGAATTAACATGACTGCTGTGTTGTCTTTACTGCTGTGAACGCTACAACACTAAGTAGTGAACGTAAGAGCTAAAAGCCCTACTCATTTTATATTGTCTTTTTAATAAAGCAAGTGTGCTTTAGAAACAGACTGGGCTTTTTTCTCATATCTGATTTTGCCAATTTGTCTTCTGTGGAAGGAAGTTCATTTTATAAGACAGATTGCAACCTTAGCCCACCTCTCCTTTTTAAAAAAAGAGCTAACAACAATAAAACCATCATTTTTCAAGGTCACTTCTTAGATATTTATATTCTTAGGTAATTGAGTCTTTCTTCAATGCTTTATTTATTAATGAATTGATTTTTAACACTTTTTTTAAAGGATAGGAAAAATATTTAAAGAAATTTTTAAAAGGTTGAATAAGTACATTAAATAATTTCCAGGGCTGAAGATAAATATCATGAATGGCTCTTTCAATGAAATGTTTATTGCTGTTTGAAAAATGGTTGCAAGTAGGAAAAGACAAAGATGTGCTAAAAAAATTTATCTACTAGAAAGATGTTCAGTGTTTATCATATTTCCCCAGTAAAGTTGGATTTGTGGAATACAGATGTTTTAATGGAAAAAAAACATAAATTAAAGATTTAGACAATCTGTTGAAGTAGATTCTAGGACTTGTTTCGATCACTTGTGTAAAAGAATTTAGTGACATAAATTTTTTTTTGTTCATTAATAATGTTATATATACATAAAAAAGATTTAAGAGTATTAATAGAATTGTTCCAGAAAACCTTCCCCATCCTCATTACCAGTTGCCTCTATATTTTATGTTAATGATTGAACGTTTGAATTTCATAAAATCTTCTTACAACTAAATTGACTAATAGCTATTACCTTAAAATTTCAGTTCTTCTAAGATTGAATATATATGTAAAAGCAGTTTAATATTTCTTGTATCCATTTCCTTTGTGAACATAGATTAGTTTTAATTTGTGTGAAATTAAACTCTCTAACATCAACATAAATGAACTAGTCATCTCCATTATTAGAAATGGTTTGTAATGGAAAATTTTTAACATCTACAAAAGTAGAAACTAGTATAATAAACCTCTCTATTTACCAATCAATAGCTATCTACCTTCTGTTGTTCTTATTTGCTGAGATTTCTTATTTCAGGGTTCTATCAAGCTGAGTTCTTACCCTGTTTCTACAGTAGATATTTAAACCAAACTAGGTCATATAAACCCAGTAGACCTAACTTCATTTCAGGAAGTGGAGCGAGAAATCTCATTCAGAACAGAATGTGGATTATATTACTCGTACTACAAGCAAATGCTGCAGGCTCCAACTCTCACACAAGGTAATTGCAATTAATAGTTTTGGGGGGTCTATTTTATTCTTTTCAGTTTTCAGCCAGAACATACTTTTGCACTAAAAGCGTTTTGAATGCTTTATAGTACGTGTGTAGTTTTTCTTTGAACTCCTGTAGTTTTTCCTTGTTAACATCTAATCAATCCACGAAAATGTTTTTCTTTGGAAGATATTATATAAAACTTTATGTAACTCTTCTCTCTCCTCTCAGCTCTACTCTATCCCAAAGTAAATCTGTTTGCAATTTCTTGATTTTTGCTCTCATTTTCTCATGATCATTTTGGAAGTGGACTTTGCAGGTGAAAGGATTATTTCCGGAGACTGGTAATATAAATAAAAATGACAGTTGGTTCCCTTGTCCCCATAGTATCCCACTCAATCCTTTATTTTGCAATTGCCATTTCCCCACATTTTCTCTTTACATTACTCCTTCTAATGGAAGCCCCCAAAAGGATCTCTTCTATTTATATGCTTGATGTACTTAAATGGGTACATACAGCAGACAATTACCCTTTTCGAGATTTTGTTTGGATTCAGATGTATTTTGGGCAAAAATTCTTCATAGGTGATGTTTTGCACTTCTAATTTTATCACAATAGAATACATGAAATTGTGATATCCTTTCTTTTTGTGTCATAAAAAAATCAATCAGTTGGTTCCTGTGTAAATAGTCAGATTCACCCTTAATGTTAACTACCTCAACCTTTTGTTCAGTGATTTTTAACAACCACTGATGATGATTGCTTATTTCTGTTGTTTTAATTGAGTTATAAAAGTGACATTCTATCATTCCTCCTATGTTTACTGGAACTCCATTTTATAGAAAACCTTCTTTTTAATCAATTATGTGATGACCCTTGAGGTACAAATTACATAAGGAGGACAGATTAACTGTTGATTTTTTTCCTCCTATTCAAGTCAGTCAGACTTGTTATTCTTGCAAATTTATCTCCTCAATAACTTGTAACCCCAGAACCAACATTCAAGGTACTTTCATGGTTGATCATGGACATGTGCAGAGTGGCAAAAAAAATTGTTGCCCAGCAAGTGCATTCCTAGCTGAGGTCAAACAGGGCAGTGTCTCGCTGCCTTCTTATTGCAGCTTTCATAATTAGTGCCTTTCATGGTCTATTTTGTGCCATGTTGTTCCAACTTTTGTGCTTTTTGTTGGTGATTTTGCTCCTTAGAACAACCCTCAAGCTTAGTATTAGAATGCTGTTTAGTATTAGAGTATTGGGTGTTCCTAAGTGCAAAAAGGGGGTGATGTTGGCATTACAGAGAAAATATGTTCATCAGATAAATGATCTAAAACAAATTAGATAATTTGTTCAAGTATGAATGATAGTGCTGTTGCTCGTGAGTAAAATGTTAATGAATCAACAGTGTGTGTGTGTGTGTGTGTGTGTGTGTGTGTGTGTGTATATATACACACACATATATATTTTAGGTATCTTGAAACAGAAACACACATAAATCAATGTTATATGTCGATTGGCTGATGAAAATGCATGACCAGAGGCTCAGAGGACACTAATAGAGGACTGTCTATTTTAAGTCTATAAAATATCCTGTGTAGTTCTACTTGTTAAGTATTAATAATTCAGTTTTCATGTCAAGAACATACATTTATAGTACTTATAGAACATAACTCATGTGAATAGTGACAGTCAGCTGTACTTACCAGTTCTCAAATTTGTAAATTGCTTCTCTAGTATCCTCTGGAGTAGTGGTTCTTAATTGAGGTGCAATTGTGCCCTAGCGGACATTTGAAATGTCTGGAAACATTTTTTGATGGTTAGCAGTGGTAGTGGGAGTGGGAGCTGCTGGAATTTAGTGGGTAGAGGGTAGGGATGCTTCTAAACATCCACAATGCACAGGACATTCTCCACAATAAAGAATTATCAGGCCCGAAAAGTCAAAATACCAAATATATATATAGTGTTAAAGTTCAGAAACTCTGCTCTAAAGGTGAATAATGGTATTTTCTTTTTTTTTTTTTTTTTAAATTTATTTGTGCATACAAGAACCTGGGGTACAGGCCAAAGGTGTAAGGGTCGGGGAGAGGATTCACCAGAGACAGAGTGGGAAACAGAACAGGCAGATTGACTGAAATATACTGCTGAGGGGAGCAGCGGTGGAGTCAGGAGAGGTCTGCTGCGCCATGTGGGGATCTCCCTGGCCGGGGATCAAACTCGTGCTGCAGTGACTGCAAATGGCTTCATAGTTTGCATCTTAACCCCTTGCACCACCAGGGATGCCCGGTATTTTCTTTTTAAGTGTGGCTATGAATTCAAGTATGATCTGTTTCAATTCATTTAAGTCATCTGTTAAGATTATTTTCTTAGAAAATTCCAAGCATATGAAAAGGTAGAGAGTATCCTCTCATGGATTTATATGGATACATCTAATGGCTGTACCTGTCGTCCAGCCAAAACAGTTATCAATTCACAACCAACCTTGTTTTCTCTATACACCCTTCCTCAACCTGGCCTGTTTTGGAATAACTCCAAGTCATATTGCTCAGTCTGTAAATACATAAGTACATTTCTCTAAAAGATAGGAATATCTCTCATTATCATTGTATCTTAAACACAGTTAAGAAATTACTTAATATTCAAAGCATTCTCATCTTTCTGATTGCCTTACAGGTTGTTAATGTAGTGTTTGAGATGCAAATGAAGTCTATACATTGCAGTCATTTACTATGTCTGTCTATAAGTGTTTCTTTTAATCTATTGTTTCCATCCTTTTTTTCTAGTAATTTTTGTTGAAAACACAGATTCATTTGTCAAATAGAGTTTCCACTTCATGGATTTTGCTGGAGCCCCATAGTATTATTTAATGTTTGTTGCCTAAATTCCCTGTTAATTGGTGGCTAGATTTAGAGGCTTGCTCAGATTAGGTTCTGTTTTCTGGCACAGATACTTCCTAACTGGCAGTGTACACTTTCACATTCAAGGACATATAGTGTGTGGCTGTCCTTCTTTGGGGGATGAGACTGACTCCAATATTAAGTTCTCAATTAATTTGTATTTCACCTAACGGTATAGCACCTCAGTGATCGTTCCCTAAATTGGCTGATTGCATAAGGTCTATAAAGTGATGAGTTTCTAATGCTGTCATTCCTTCCATCATTATTAGACAGGACTCATCTCTAAAGAAAATCTTCTCACTAGATGTTTCATAATATAAATCTTCAGTTCCTAAAGGAGAGGCAGGATAAATAATGCTCCTTTCCCTTTATTGTTTTTCGAATAAGTTTGATGTCTTTCACTCTTGCTTTTTCCCCCTACTTTCAAATTGTGCAATCTTTAGATAATAGGATGCCCTTTAGGTAGGTTGCTGTCTTTTTTGACCTGACTCCAGTGGTCTTTGAAACTCCCCTGCTTTTTGGCATGTCAAAATGTTTCAAGATCATTCAGTGTATTTCTTACCCCTGACCTAGAATCAACCATTTCTCTGAGGAATCGCATTCCTTTTTTAGTGGCTATTTAGAGACCACAATCTGGGTACTAGGGATGCTGGTTTCCAAGCCTTCTTAGTGAACAGAGCTAGGAGATGTGAATTTTTTTTCCCTAAGAGAAAATATGAATATAGCTATTTTTCAACTCAAAAGTAGGGTACCAGGGCTTTTACCTTTTTTTTTTATTTTAAAGATTTATTTTTTATTTATACAATAGTTGGGGTACAGGCCAGAGGCACAGGAGGGTGAGAGGATTCACCAGAGACAGAGTGGGGAGCAGAACAGGCAGATGACCAAAACATACTGCTGAGGGGAGCAGCAGGCGTGACAGGAGAGGTCTGCCAGGACATGTAGGAATCTCCCTGGCTGACTGGGAATCAAACCTGCGCTGCAGAGGCTCCGGTTGGCTTTACAGCTTCACAGTGCTGTGCTCAACCCGCTGCGCCACCGGGGAGGCCAGGACTTTAACCTTTTCAAAAAATATTTTATTTATTTATTTTGCATAGAAGAACTAGGATGTAGGCCAGAGGTGCGGGGAAGGGAGAGGATTCACCAGAGACAGAGTGGGGAGCAGAACAGGCAGATCTACTGAAATACACTGCTGAGGGGAGCAGTGGGCAAGACAGGAGAGGTCTGCTGCGCCATGTGGGAGTCAGCTCTCTGGCCAGGGATCAAACTCAGACGGTAGTGGTGACAGCATTGAGACTTAACCCTAGGCCACCAGGGAGGCCCCGGAGTTCTTACTTTTTTATTTCATATATGTAGCTCTTCTTTCTTAAGTTGAAAAATTTGGTGTCTTGTGTCATTGATGGTATTGCTAACTTGTTTTGTTTTACTATGTAGAATACTTTCAAAGTATTAGTTTCCTTCTTTAGGGAACCATTCTTATTAATTTTTGGTTTATTCCTTTATTGTTAACATTTTTAATATAAGTACTTTATATGCTCATATATCACCCTTTATCACAAAACTTCGGTATATACTGTTATCTGTTTTGCTTTTCACTTAACATCTGAAATCACTTTAGTAGGATATAAAGGCATTCTTTATTACTTTTTGCAACTGTATTTTTTTATATGGATAAGCTTAGTTTATTCACATAACCTTCTTGTCTCAGTCTGCTTGGGCTACCATAACAGAATACTGTGGACTGGGTAACTTGAAAAACAAATTCTCCTTCAGTTTTATTGGTAGGAAGTCTGGGATCAGAATGCCAGCAGGTTGGGTTCTGGTGAGGACTCCCTCTTGACTTGCAGATAGCCACCTTCTCTTTGTATTCTCCTCACATGAAGACAGACAAAAAGCAAGGTCTCTGGTATCTCTCTCAATAAGAGCACTAACCCCACCATCACTGTTGTGATGTCATCTAACCCCTAATCATTTCCCAAACGCCCATTTCATCTTCATATGGCAGTGTTGGGGCTTGAACATGAATTTGGGGAGCAGAGGAACACAGACTTTCAACCCTTAATACTCCTGTATTCATCTAGTAGCACTGCCATAACAAATTACCACAGACTGGGGGACTTACACAACACATGTATTTTCTCTCAATTCCAAAAACAGAAGTCCAAGATCAGTCTTGGCTTCTGGTGAAGCCTCTCTTCCCAACTTATAGCTGTCCATCTTCTTGTGCAGCTGTGTCTGCACACATGACCTTTCCTTTATGCGTGTGTGTCTAGAGAGCTCTGTCTTGCCCCACTTCTGATATGGACACAAGTCCTATCAGGTTAGACCCCTACCCCTACCTCACTTAATCTTATTACTTTCTTGTAAACCCTGTCCAAATACAGACACAGTGGGGTTATACAGTTCAGTCCAAAATCTCTTTTCTTGATGGGCATTTGGGTTGTTTCTCATCTTTTACTGTTACAGATGGCACTGCATGAATAACCTCATGCCCATCGTCTTGTCTTTTTATCAGTCTGTCTTTGGAATCTATTCCTAGGTTAAGTCCAAGATCAAAGGGTAAATGCACTTATAACTTTGTTAGGGGTACTACCAAATTTTCTCCATAGGGTTTATACCATCTTGCATTCCCAACTGCATTCTATGAGAAACCCCACCTCTTCCAGCCTTACTCACAGAGTACATGGTCAGACTGAGTGATTTTTTTCCAAGCTGATACATGGGGAATTGTATCTCAGCAGAGTCATAATTTGTGCTTCTAGTGGAAACAAGGCTGAGCATCTTATGTGTAAGGACTATGTGCAGGTTGTCTTCTGTGCACAGTCTATTCCTTTCTTCTTTTAGTTAGCTTGGTTACAGTCACAAATGACTTCACTAGCACTGTAATTCTGTAGCAACAGGTTTCTTCTTTGACTCATTATCCAGCCCCTATTTGGAACATAGATGTTATGAGCAAAATTGCTGTGGAAACATGCATTGTCTCAAAGCCTCTGTTCAGATGTGGCATGTGGCATATCCAATCAGCTGCCATTGGTCAGAGCAAGTCAAATAGCCAAATGCATGGGGGCGGGGGCGGGTGAGGAGGCTAAGGCTAAGTTTACTCTCCTTGAATGTACTTAGGTCTCATGCAGGAGGGCGGGCAGGGTGATGTTAAAATCTGGGCCAGTTTTCTAGAGAAGAACTGTCTGTGTTGTCATTGCATTTACCAGTAACAATTTACCTATATTTGTGTAAACATTTAAATAATGCTCATCTAATACATGGTAAGCTCTTTGAAGATAGGACTATATTTTTTGCTTACTCTTCTATCGCCATTGCTTAGCACAGTCTTTGGCACATGCTAAACAAATCTAAGCATAGTCTTGAATGAATGAGTGATTGTAATTTTTCCTGACTTTTCAAATATCAACCTTAGGTTTTCATGGCTTAATATATGATAACAAAACTGAATCTATGAAGACAATTAACCTCCTGCAACGAATGAATATTTACCAAGAGGTTTTTCTCAGTATTTTATATAGAATTCTACCCATACAGGTATGTTGTATTCTGACATTGAATTGTTACTATCAGATCAAAGTCAAAATTCTGCCATTTTAAGTTGTAAGTTTCACATATATTATTCTGATCTTCAGCTGACTTGGTATTAAAACAGTAATAGTCTAAAAATCTCCATATATAGCGAACTTTTTAAAATTTATCTTTTGTAAGCTATTTTAAATAAATAAATGCTTCCTGGCGTGCATATATGTGCAGTCTAGAAGGTGATAAATATTTCTTTTTTAATTAAATTTTTTCTTACATCTTTGTAGTCCCCACAGTTCTCCCACCACTGTATCACATGTGAACCATCACCATATTCCCTTGTGTTCCTCCCTCCCCAGTTTTGCCCCCCTTCCCCGCCCCTCCATTGCTGTATGCCTCAGCTCTATGGTCAGCTTGCTAGTTTTGATTTTTTCCTGCCCTTTTGTTTGGATTCTCTATATTCCACATAAAAGTGAGACCATGCAATAGCTATCTTTTCCGTTCTGACTTCTTTTGGCTAGCAGAATCCTAAAAGGTGAAAAATAATTTCATTTGAAAACATGCTAACAATTTTCTTTATCATTGAAATTCTTTAAAAAATTGGAAAATTAGCAAATCAAAGTGACCACTTCTCATGTGAATAAGGAAAACTGGGCAGTGAGGGGTTAGATTTGTCTAGAGTAAGAATGAACCCAGAGTCCTCAAGGACCTCCCTTCCTCTTCTGCTCTAGGCCATGAGAAGAAGGCTGCCAGCTTGCTTTTAAATGGAAAGGAATGAATATTAAATTTCCAGTCATATTTTTTAAATGGCAGTCAGAAGGATTAGGGCTTTGCTAACACATCTTTTTTATGGTTCCTTTTTACAGAAATACTTAGAGCCAGTTTATTTTTATATTTACACTTTGTTTGGTCTCCAAGCGATCTATGTCACAGCTCTGTACATAACCAGCTGGCTCCTCAGTGGCACGTGGCTGTCAGGACTGTTGGCAGCTTTCTGGTATGTCACAAATAGGTAAGTTGCAATCAGTGTGCTTGTTTCCATTTGTAAAATATAAGTAAAATGATGTTGCTTCATTTGCAGTTCAAAGAAAGTTGTTTTGCCACATTTGTTTGTATGGGAGTCATTTTCTCTTATTCATTTTCTCTCAGTCATTTTCTCTTGGTTCACCTGGTGGTGTTTGTCTTAGTAAGGTAGAAAGTCTTAATTCTGTATATTTCTAGCTGAGAAACAGAACACTGAATCACAAATCAAGAGAATCATCCATAATAATCCCAGTTCCATAGCCAGTTTCTGGGTAATCAATATTTCTCCAACCACATATCTCATCTCTTAAAGATGATTTAATAATACCTTTACTATCAACATTAATAGGGTTGTGTGCAGCTCATAATCAGCAAAGCATAGAGTACTGTGCAAATGCAAGCAAGTTCTCACACTGTTCAATACATGTTATTAATTTCTAAATACTGGAGACTTGTGAAATAACTTTGTTTTTTAATTGCAGCGGCATTGGTTTACAATGCTATCTGTGATTTGATTCAGAAGTGTAGGATCATGCCCTTCAGGTCCAGGCCACCATACCCGCCACCATTATTATTGAGGTGTTTTGGGTTTTTTTTTTGTGAAGTAACTTTTTTAAAAAAAAAAATTTATTTATTTATGCACACAAGAACTGAGGTGTAGGCCAGAGGTGCAGGGAGTGAGAGAATTCACCAGAGACAGGGTTGGACACAGAACAGGCAGACTGACTGAAATACACTGCTGAGAGGGAGCAGCGGGCAAGACAGGAGAGGTCTGCTGTGCCATGTGGGTTAGCTCCCTGGTTGGCTGGGGAATCAAACTTGTGCTGCAATGGCTGGCAATAGCTTGATAGTGCTGTCTTTAACCCCTGTGCCACCTGGGAGGCTCCTGAAATGACTTTTTTTTTTTAATTTTTTTTTTTTTTTTTTTTTTTTAATTTTCTAGAGGCATGTCTTATTTATCTATTTGTTTGTTTGTTTGTTTGGTTTATACATGCACTGGGTACAGTCAGAAGCCAGGAGGGCGAGAGAATTCACCAGAGCCAGAGCGGGGAGCAGAGCAGGCAGAAGGACCGAAGCACACTGCTGAGGGGAGCAGCGGGCGGCAGGAGAGGTCTGCGCGCCATGTGGGACCCTCCTCCGGTGGCCAGGGAGCAGCCGGGGATCGAACCGGCGCCGCAGAGGCCGCGGGCAGCCCCGCAACCCAGCGCTCAACCGCTGCGCCACCTGGGAGGCCCTGAAATGACATTTTTAAAAAATGTATTCAAGAGGGTCTTCCTGGTGGCGCAAGGGGTTAAACACAGCACTATGAAGCTATCTGCAGCCTCTGCAGTATCAATCCCTGGCCAGCCAGGGAGCTACCCACATGGCACAGCAGACCTCTCCTGTCTCGTCCACTGCTCCCCACAGCAGTGTATTTCAGTAGATCTGCCTGTTCTGCTCCCCATTCTGTCTCTGGTGAATCCTCTCACCCCCTGCACCTCTGGCCTGTACCCCAGTTCTTGTATACATAAATAAATAAATCTTTAAAAATATATATATATTCAAGATATATATTGAATTGTTGTCTGACCTACAGCAGCAATACCATTATTCAATAAGTGTCTTAAAACTTGAGCACAAGTTATAGTAATGATTTCATTTTGTAATCTTAAGAGAATTTTTGTTATAACCCTATTGATGCTTACAATGTGTCCAGCACTTTAAAAAACACTTTATATATATTCTTATAACAACCCTATAATATAGATACTATTAATATTATCTTAGAACTAAGGAAATTGAGGTTTAAAAGGTTAGGTAACATGCACATTACTTAAAAGCTTAAGTTAATATATATGTCCATATCCCCCCCACCCCACACACACACACACACAGAGCTAAGTCTTGGTCAGAATTCAAATAGAGAGGGCTGGGTTGCGAAGCTGCCAGCAGCCTCTGCAGCGCTGGTTCATTCCCGGCTGCCCCCCGGCCACCGGAGGAGGGTCCCACATGGTGCACAGACCTCTCCTGCCGCCCACTGCTCCCCTCAGTAGTGTACTTCGGTCCTTCTTCCTGCTCTGCTCCCCGCTCTGACTCTGGTGAAGTCTCTCACCCTCCCGCACTTCTGACTACTGTACCCAGTGCTTGTGTAAATAAATAAATAAATCTTAAAAAAAAAAAAAAAAAAAGAATTCAAATAGAGGATGTGAGATCACTATGTTATGCTGCCTTTTAACATTTTAATCTGATATTTTTGCTAAGAGTAAATGAAAGTCAAATTTATATTGTTCCTATTAAAGATAAATTAAGAAAACATCTATTGAATACCTACTATGTGCCTCGATGGTTTTTGCTGCTGGCTGTAGAAAGGTGAGAATGTAAGGATACTTGTCCCCTGGGGTTTACATTCTAGGGGAAGAAGCCTTTAAATATTATGGCCAATGACAGGCTTAAAACTCAAGCATAAGTCACTAAAGAAATAAACTGAGAGAGAATGCAGAGGCTAGACAGTTGGCATTACTGAAGTTAGAGAGACATAAAAGTACAAAACAGACATAAAAGCATGAACAAGCATGGGTCTGGGAATAGCAGAGCATGGGCTTGAACTCCCCTTCTACCACTTAGCAGACGGAATGCCCCAGCACAGCTGGCTGACGTTTTCTCAGTGACAATTTTATGTTACAGGGGTGACAATGATTAAGGACAAGTTGTTACTAGAATCTAAATACACTTCATGTAATATATCTTTCATATTTAGGAAATCTTTGCAGAAATGTAGTAAAAGTTGTCACTTGGGCCATTTGTGTTTTCCTCTGTGCAGAATAGATACTACAAGAGTGGAGTTTACCATCCCACTGAGGGAGAATTGGGCGCTGCCATTCTTTGCCATTCAGATAGCAGCAATTACATATTTTCTGAGACCAAAATTGCAGCCTCTTTCTGAGGTAAGTTTTCATTATACCTTATTTTTCAATTCTCCAATGTTATCTAAGAAGCTGCAGAAAATGTGATGTATATACTGTCCCAATACATGGGGGTAGTTCTTATTCCCTGACCAATTTTTTTTTTTTTTAACTTGAGTTAAATTAAGTTTTCTCTTTCTGAGCTTTCTTCTACTTTGTGAAGAAAATGTTTTCATATTTGATGTTAAAAATGTACTCTACATAATGTGCCCTTAAATAGTTGCAGCAAACCCACACACAATTTCTGCAAAACTGTCAGAATTTTTAAGCCATTGCTCTTGAGATGCGATTTGGTGCATTATCGCCCCCGTGATAACGTAGAATACACATACCGTATGTGAATATTTATATGCAAAGTGTCACTTTAGTACATTTAGAGCTTAAATAACAAATGCAAGGGTTTTCAGAGCAACAGTTTATGGTTTTCCTATTTGCTTTATAGAGATATTGGATGCTCTTGAGAAAACTTGTCTGCAAGGCTTTTTATTACTAGAGACATGTAAATTATACAAAGGTTTTCTTTTCACAGAGGCTGACACTTCTTGCCATTTTCATATCAACTTTTCTCTTTAGCCTGACATGGCAATTTAATCAATTTATGATGCTGATGCAAGCATTAGTGCTGTTCACTCTGGACTCCTTGGACATGCTGCCGGCAGTAAAGGCAAGCTTGGCTCTCTTTTCTCATTTGAGATGGTCATTGTGTAGTGTTTTATATCATAGGATTTGCTCAAAATCTGCACCTGCTTAATGATAAAGTTGAGGCTTCTACTTGGCTTTATGCTGTGGTCAGTTGAAACCGAGTAACTTCTGCACCTCATTTGACCATCTTAACTTTGATTCTGCCTATTTTTCATTAAAAGATGGGTTTATTTGGAGAATAGATATTTAGAGCAATTGTCCTTTATAAGGTTTACTTAAATTTTAAAACATAGTTCTTTTAAAATGTGTTAAACTATGTACTGCCTTCCCTCCCCAGCAACTCAACAGATACACAACACTTTTTCTGTGTAATTTATAAAATTTCCATAGTAACATTTTTTTTTAAAGATTTATTTATTTATTTATTTATTTATATAAGCACTGGGTACAGTCAGAAGCGCAGGAGGGTGAGAGAATTCACCAGAGTCAGAGCGGGGAGCAGAACAGGAAGACTGACGAAATACACTGCTGAGGGGAGCAGCGAGCGGCAGGAGAGGTCTGCGCGCCATGTGGGACCCTCGCCCTGTGGCCAGGGATTGAACGGATGCTGCAGAGGCTGCAGGCAGCTTCGCAGCCCAGCGCTCAACCGCTGCGCCACCAGGGGAGGCCCTCCATAGAAACATTTAAACAACATGGAATGTGAATCCTTAGTGTATAGCTGAATGTCTTCTATGAAATAAGTCAGTCATAGGAAGCCTTTAGTTATCTCCCAAGTGTGCTGCTATCATTTAACTGCTTGTTTTTTTTCCATATGTTTTGATGTATTGTATACATTTTAAAAATTGCTCATAGATACTATCCTTAGTTAGCAATAACTTAAAGTGTTTTCCAAGTATAATAAAATACTGCCTCCAGATCTAAGGCAGCAATATAGCCTAATACATAAGAGTTGCACTCATTTGTTCCCTGTCAAAAGAGATGCAATAATATTGGAAAGTGACTGAACCTGAATCAAGAGACATTGCAGTCACTCGCATACATGCCTCACACACTGGGCAGTAGGTCCCATCTCTATACTGGGCAGTCAGAGTGGAACAACACTGTAGAAAATGCCAACAGGTGTGAGCCATTGTTCCCTCAACAGGTAGTTCACCATCTAGGTTGGGAAGTAAAGACAGACAACTTGAGTAGATAACTAGAAATGATGACAGTTTGTGGTAATGGTAAGTGCTATCAGTCTAGAAGAAAACTGTTCTTTTTAGTCTGACAAGATTTCTGAGAAGTAGGAATCTAGATTTGGGCCACAAATAAGTAGAATTTGGATGGAATATGATGGAACAGGGTAGGAAGGTAAATACAGTAAAATAAAAGAGGTAGATATGGTAAAGTTAAGAGTGAGTATGTGTGTGTGTATTTAGTGTTTCTGCAAGTGTGATGTAAGTGGTCACTCACACACTGCAGGTAGGCTATCAGATTCATGTACTATAGTTTCACAGTAGGTACCAAAGGCCTAAAAATGTGTTCGCTCTTTCACCAGTACTTCAACTTCTGTATATTTATCCTAAGGAAATAATCAAAAATGTTCATATTAGTTGTAGTACAATAAGAAAAAGTTGGAAACAATCTCAGACAGTAGCATTAGGGTATTGTTAAATAAACATGGACTATCCATAATAGAGTATTACATAACCCTCATCTTCTCCTCTCCCTTTTCTAAAAAGTAAAACATGTAAGAAATTGAGAAAAGGTTCTGAAAAGCTGTATGTTAAAGTATTAATAGTCTGCTCTACATGATTGATGTTCAGTATATTCTTTCTGTTTTTTAGATGTTTTGAATTTTTCTGTAGCAAATATTTCTTTTAAAATTAGAACACAGAATAAAAATTACCATTTTGGCACACACACAAACTAAATAATACAGTTAATTTATCTTATAATCAGTCCTAAGCTTTGTTCAACTTTAATGTTTAAAACTCTCTTGGTGTCAGAGGTAGTTATAAGTATCAGAATATAAGAAGGAACAGATCTAAGATGAAAGAATTCTGAGTCATGAAACAAAGTTGCTAGTGTTAGCTCTGAAAATAACTAGCTTTTTAAACTTGAGCAGATGATCTTACTTTTCAACTATTAGTTTCTTCATAAATTGGAATCATTGCTGTCTTATAATATCAAATGGGAAGAGTTTAGAATTATTGGTGTCTTGCAACAGGAGCTTTGTTGCTGCCTTGTGGCAGGAATGCCATGAGGGACACAGCAGTCGTGGAGCAGGTTTGCAAGGCAACATTCTGCTACTTGAGCAGAAGTTCTTGTACCATTTATTGAAAGCATACAGGCTAGTTAAAGCTGATCATGCAACAATGGTATGAGGAATTAAGTCCGAAAGGTAGAATAGGAATGGGGGACAAAGTTTTATGAGGGACAGGGAAGGGGACATTGTGACCATACATCAAGAGCCATTTGCATCAGCAAAGTATTTGATGTTATCACAGAGTTATCCCGAGACTACCATGGAGATAGTCACGTAATCAGGTCAACAGCGGCCTAGGCATCCCCAGGCCTGCCTCACGATATGGACTGTGCTCCATAGGTAGTCAAGGTATTCTCTGCTGTGATTTGTAAATAGCAACTAGATCACAGTTGCCTATCAGTGGCCAGCTAGTAGCCAGCTCATAGGAACCCACATTGGTGTAGAGAAAGATAATACAAATTCTGATCCTAGTGTAACAAGAAGCAGTGTCTTTTCAGTACCCGTGAGTTTCTTTTTGTGAGTGATGGAAAATCTCTTCCTCCAAATCTCAAGTTTTCACTCAGAAATGTGTACAGGGTTTTTGTTTTAGCAAAATTCCATAAGGCTCTTGGAGCATTATAAAGACAGTCTTGGCAGAATTGAATACCAAAGTTCTGAGTCTCTGGCATTTCTTGTGGTCTTGTCAGTACAGCACAGTGGTTGACAACACAGACTCCAGAGCCAGATTGCTAGGTCTGCATGAGTTAATATATGTGACTCATTTAGAACATTGAGATTTTATGAATGTTAAATATTAACCATGTTTAATCATGAATGATGATGAAGAGCATGAGCATGATCCACTGAAGAAAATTCCAGTGACTCTACATAGAAAGACTGTATTGCTACTTGTTTCCTAACTGGACTGGACTAAGAGAATCTGGGAAGAAATAACAGGTGTTGCACTGGTGATCCAGGGACCTCTAATATACAGTTCTGTTCAGTTTCATATTTCTGGCTGCTCACCAGCAGTGTTCTTTTGAACATTAACAAAACCATGCAGTCTTGTAATACAAACTGTACTTTTTCCCTGGAAGTTTGCTTACTTGATCTTAAAAAAAAAACCTGCCAACATAAAAAAACAATAAAGGCAAACTAAAAAGTTATTTTATTTGAAAAAAAAGTGTTTGTGAATGAGTTGTTATCCTTAAAGACGTCCTAAAAATTAATGAGAAAAACATTTACACCTCATCAGAAAAAGGAACAAAAGATAAAAGTACTAGAAGGAATAGCACCAAAAAGAGCAAAAATACTTAGATATAAATTTAACAAAAAGTACGAGCTGCAAAACATCATTGAATGTTTTAAAGATTTACATAAATTGAAAAGATACTCATGGTCATAGGTTAGAAGACTTTCTGTTGTTAGGTGGCAGTTTGATGTACAGATTCAACACTGTCCCTTTCAGATTCCAGTGGGTTTTTTACAGAAATTGACAAGATGAGCCTAAAGTTCATATGGAAACTCCAGAGACCCAGAAGAGCCAAAACAATGTTGACAAAGAACAAAGTTGGAGGACTCACACTTACCAATTTCAAAACTTACTTCCAAACTACAGTAATGAAAATAGTGTAATACGGGCAATAGGATAGACATGGATTAGTAGATTAGAATTGAGAGACCAGAAAAATAGTCTGTTGATTTTTTAGTAAGTGTGCCAAAATAATTATATAGAGAAAGAATAATCTTTTCAACTAATGTTACTGGAATAACTGGACAACTACATGCAAAAGAATGAAGTTGGAACCCTTCTTTTCCCCATACACAATAAGTCAACATAGGCCTAATTAATGTAAGAGCTAACACTATAAAAAATGTTATTTTACTTATAAATTTTTTCATAAAATAAAATAATATGTTTAGAAGATAGGAATAATTTTTCGTAATCTTGAAGTTAACCACGTCTTCTTAGATACACCACCAATAGCACAAGTGACTAAAGAAAAAATAGATGAGTTGGACTTCATCAAAATTTAAAACATTTGCACTTTAAGGTATACCAGAAAGTAAAAAGATAATCCACAAAATGGGAGAGAATATTGGCAAATCGCATACCTTATCAGAGGTCTTCCAAATATATAAAGATCTCTTATATCTCTTTCAACAATAAAAAATGGGTAAAGAATTTAGACGTTTTTCCAAAGGTGATACATAAAAGTCCATAGTAAGCCACGAAAAGATGCTCAATAACATCAGTCAAAATGCAAATCAAAACCACAATGAGGGCCTCCCCTGTGGCGCAGTGGGTTGAACACCGTGCTGTGAAGCTGTCCGCAGCCTCTGCAGTGCCGGTTCGATCCCTGCCAGCCAGCGAGGGTCTCACATGGCGTAGCAGACCTCTCCTGTCGCACCCACTGCTCCCCTCAGCAGTGTATTTTGTCAGTCTGCCTGTTCTGTTCCCCGCTCTGTCTCTGGTGAATCCTCTCAACCTCCCGCGCCTCTGGCCTGTACCCCAGCTCTTGTATAAAAATAAATAAATCTTAAAAAAAAAACACAATGAGATACCACTTACACCCACTTGGATCACTAAAATTGAGGAAAAGAAAAAGCAGATATAGGTATTAACAAATGCTGGCAAGGATGTAAGGAAATTGGAACTCCCGTGCCTTATGGGGGGTTTGTAAATGGTACATTCACTTTGGAAAACAGCATTTCTGCAAATGTTAATGTAGAGTTACCATATGTTTGAGCAGTTCCACTGCTGGATACACACCCAAAAGAAATGAAAACCTTTATCCATGTAAAAATATGTTCATAATTGCTCAGAGCAATATCATTCATAAGAGCCAAAAAGAGGAAACCAACCAAATGCCCATCATCTGATTAATGGATAAATAAAAGGTAGTGTATTGGTACAATGCAACATTCAACAACAAACAGAATGAAGTACTGATACATGCTGTAACACCAGTAAGCATCAAAACATTGTCTTAAGTAAAAGAAGCCAGTCACAAAAACTACATTGTCTATGATTACATTTGAATGAAATGTCCAGAGTACCCATAGAGACAGAAAGTCCATTGGTGTTTGACAGCATGGAATGAAAAGTGAGGACTAATTGGTAGCTATCTTTTGGAATGATGAGAGTATCTTAGATTGTGGTGATTTTTGTACAAGCCTGTTAATATACTAAAAGTCATGAATGTTGTACTTCAAGTGAGTGAATTTTATGACATTTGAATTCTATCTCAATAAAGCTGTTAAAAAAGGAAAAACCATTTCTTCTCTAACCAATGGTTCTGTTTTTATGAATCTGTCCTAAGGAAATGCATTCATTCCTCCAATATTTATTGAATGGTACTATTTCTAGTCGACATTGTTTTAGGTGCTAGATATATAACAATGAACAAAATAAAGAATTAATGAGATATAATGATCTGAGGGGTTTTTTAAAAGAATATTCATTATATATTAATTTCAATAATAATAAAAGGCTGGAAACACTGAAGAGATCTAATGGCAGGCAAATTGTGGTATTTGGTAGAATGTTATATCACCATTTAAAATTAAGTGTTCACATGTTAACTGAAATAAAAGTCTCAATGATGGTTAGACAAATAATCTACTAGATAATGAAATTGAGACTTCAAACCCAAAAGAAGAGACTGGTAGGAAAGGTGTCCCTTGCAGCTGCTTCTTCCACCCTCCTCCACAGTAGTTTGGTTTGTAAAACGTTGAGATAGACAGTGTTTCTTAGAAAAAGGAGTTGCATTTGAGACTACACACATTTTTGCAGGCATTGTTTCTCTGGTATATGTTAATTTGTGTATAAGAAAGGCAGGAACTTAGGAGATAAAAGATTTTATCATGAGGAAATGCCTGTTTGCTTAGACTTCTGTAGATTACTTGAGGGAAAGGGGTTGGGAGCCCCTCGACTCCCCACCCTCTTTAACCCCACCTCCCTCAACCTCCCAGGCTCGGGACTTCTAGACACTCATTTCCACTGATCTGTGACAATGGACGGGGCTGACCACAGGGCTCCTTCACAGCATTTCATTTTGATCTGCTGACTTCTGCTTCTGCAAGTCCTTTTCCTTTGTCCAAAACTGGCCGATTTTTTTCCACACACAGAATAGTCATTGATGTGATTATACGGTATATTGTGAAATAATAAAATATTTACCACTATGAAGTCAGTATTGTTTCTGTAGGTAATGATGTTGAATTTTGACTGTAGAACCCACCTTTCTTTCCATTACTATTTCTTGTTTATGTATTTCTGAATTCTTTGTATCTCCTACAATAAAAATATATTATCTTTATAATCCTAAAATCTATCAGTATCCATTTTCCCAAGTTTCCATTAATACCAATACCTAACAATGTCAACGAGAATAGTGTCACTCAATAAATATTGGAGGAATGAATGCATTTTCTTAGGACAGATTCATAAAATAGAACCACTGGTTTAGGCCTTGCTTTTAAAAGCTAGTTGTAGGTCTCCTTTGAGGGTAAGAAAACAAAATTAGATAAAAATATGATTTATTGCTGGATAAAAGTGGCATTTTTCATATATCACTATGAATATGTAATTGTCTAATTTGAAAGAGAGAAGTATCACCTCTTTATTAAAAGCTGTCTTTTTTTTTTTCCTTTGTGGCATGTTTTTTTTGTGTGTGTTCAAGTTGGTTGAGTTTTGTTTCATTCATTGTCAACCTGTCAACAATTTTTACTACATCAAAAGCTGTCTTTAGTGAGTGCTTATTATGTGCTAGGCATTTTAATACATCACATCTGGCTCTTCTATCAGTTCTTTACAGCAGCTCTCAGGAAGGTATAATCATCCCACTATTACAGATGAAACTCTTCCAGGACATGAATGTCACACTCCTGATTTATACCCAAACCAGCACTGTGGTTCAGGTGCTGAGACTGGAGCTTTTGCACTTGACCGCTACACTGTACTGCCTGCTATTGCCATGTGAGGTCAGAGAGAATGAGGAAGAGTTTTCAGTCAGCTGAGGGGATTAGGCACACATAAATAACATGAAGCAGTGGATAACTCAGTCTTAAAGTACATGGTATGGAAAATTAGGAAATAATGGAATATAATAAAATACTAATTGTTGACAGTGGGCAGTAACTAAAAAAGAGTTTAGCAGAAAATTGAAGACTATGAACTGTGCTTGCCCATTCATAGACAACATTCACACCATTGTTTGCTTTCTTTGCTTTGTGTTATTCCCATTCTTTTGCTCTTTAATTCATGTTATAAAATTTTAAAGGTGCTGTTGATTTAGTTTCCTTTCTTAGATTGTATTCCTTGAAGGAAGAGTATATTCTGCATATTTATAATTTGAGATGTATCCAACTGGTAACCAGCATGTTAGTACAGGGTCGTCTCTTGATAAAACCTGTTTAACCATCTAATCTTTGGTCATTGCAGGCGACATGGCTGTATGGTATACAGATAACAGGTTTACTCCTGGTCTGCATTCTTCAGTTTTTTAATTCCATGATTCTTGGATCATTGCTTATCAGTTTTAACTTTTCAGTATTAATTGCAAGAAAACTTCAGGTAGGTTTGGTTTTTTGTTGTGAATTTGCTTTTAAGGTAATTTTGTTGGGTTTTTTTGTTTTGTTTTTGTGTAAAAGGACTGGGGTGTAGGCCAGAGGTGTGTGGAAAGGTGGATGAGCAGATTCACCAGAGACAGAGTGGGGAGCAGAACAGGCAGATCAACTGAAATACACTGCTGAGGGGAACAGCAGGCAAGACAGGAGAGGTCTGCTGCGCCATGTGGGTCAGCTCCCTGGCTGGGGATCAAACTCGGCCTGTAGTGGTGATAGTGCTGAGACTTAACCCTAGGCCACCAGGGAGGCCCTTAAGGTAAATTTTTAAACTGTGACTGGTTGGATTTCATTTTCATATAGCATACAAAGAAAAATTTATGGCCAAATTCCCATTAAAACTCACTAGTGGCATTATTTGCTTTTTTTCCTTTTGAAATGTGTGGAATAGTATTTCTGCTTTCAAGCTTTCTGATATGCCCTTCCTTCTGGCATTTTGTATTTTTTAGAGAATTAGAATTTTATTTCTTTTCAGGGATTAGCCAAAGATACTAACTTGAGTGCCACTGATTTAAAGTTGAAATAAAAGAAATGATGTTAACTTTTGTGCATGTATGAACTTGAATAAGAATGTGCTGCTTACAGGAATACGTTCATCACAGTCTCAAATTCGTGGACACCTTGTCTTTCTTTGATGTGATGACACCACCTTTTGCCCCACCCTTTCACATCAGACACATTTTCTCCACTTACGTTGCTCATTACGAAGGGGTTTATTTACTATTAGAAAATTGCAAATATTAAGACCATGTAGCATCATGAACAATTTCTGGGTTATATACTCCACATGTTATATGTTTCCACAGTTCCGTGTTATATGATTCCATGTTTTAAATCTTAAGTAATCTCATCTTCAATGTTTATGAAGTTATATGAAAATTTAAGAATTAAAACTTTTATTTTCTAGAAAAATCTGAAAACTGGAAGCTTCTTTAATAGGCTTGGAAAACTTTTGTTGCACTTATTTGTGGTTTTATGTTTCACACTCTTTCTCAACAACATTGCTAAGGTAGGTTAATAAAATGAAGTTATTAATTTAGCAGTACTAAAGATTTACCACCTTTACTTCAAATAGGCTCAGTATTAACTTTGCTTCAGTAACAGGATATTTCCTTGATTTTAGTCCTTGATTTCTATTCACTCTTCTTTAATACGTTCCACCTTGAAATCCCCTTTTGATTTATCACGCTTTTTTAAAAAGTAAAAACCTTAAGCAGGTACCTCTCTAAATTTAGAAAATTCTACTTTTTAGAGATACTTTTCTGTACTGCAATACTTAAAAAAGAGATGACATGACTTTTCCTGGGGAGTTAATAAATAAACTGGTTTTACTAAATACCACCACTCCAGTTCCCTGTCATTATGTTCTTAAATCCCACACAGTACTTGTCAAAGCTTATTTGAGCAGAATAATGAACATTTTTGAAAGTAGTCTTAGCTGAAAGGTATACAGTTCATCCGTCTGCCCACTCCACATAGTAAGTGATCTGGTCTTGGACTGAGCCAGTAGAGAGCTGTAGGTCTGGACTGCTGTTTTTTTCACTCCCCAAAGAGTAACAACTATTTAATTGTACTTGATGTTTTGCCAGCAATCTACAATAAGAATTAGGGAACATTATCCACGAGATTCCTTGTTGTTTTTACTACACCTAAGGGGAAAATTTCTTTTAAGTCTCAGTTCTAGCATACTAGGATCTTTGAGCAACTGGTTTGTTTTAATTTTGTGACCCTATGACTAACATAAATGCTTTTATCTCTGTGTTTGCATTTGTTCTAGAATGCATAAACCCAGATTTGTGGCTCTTCCCTCGTAAACATATTTTAGGTACTAACCACAGTTTGGGGCTCTTGTTTTCTATCTTCATTTTTCTTTCTGACACACTTTCTTCACCCATTTATGTTATATGGATTTTTGTAAGCCATAAATTAAAAAATAAAATATGAATTAAAATTATAATCATTAATGATAAGCACTGGCATTTGTCTGTTCACCCCTTAAGGGTTATACTGTGTCTTGAATTGTCTTTGTGGAATGAGTCTTATATCAGTTGTATCTGCAGACAAAAGACACCAAAGACAAGCAGGCCTTGTAGAAGATAAACCTATTGGGGGTTCCAAGTGATTGTATTATTTTCTGATCTAAAAAATTATACTCACCAGGCTACAGACATTTCCCTTTTCTGAAACCAAAGAAGCTTATCTTTTATCTATTTTACAAATTAAACTTAAACATAAGATTTTGTTTGAAAAAATGACTCTGCTTAAAAAAAAAAAGAGTGGAGGGAGTGTGGAAGTCCTTTCTTTTGAATTCCTAGTTCTAAGAACTATTGGAAACATTTACTAATTAAAATTGCATATAGACATACAGTCCATTGAAAGTGAACACTGAATAAATGTATTGAATAGGAAGTTAGCTGGAAACCATGCCTAAGACATTAATAGCAGTTTTGTTTTCTCCCTTTCCAACAGAAAATTCTTAACCTGAAATCAGATGAACACATATTTAAATTCCTGAAGGCAAAATTTGGGTTTGGAGCAACAAGGTATGAATGAATTTAAATCGATGTTTGAGTTTTTATATTACATCAGCATGGAGTTTAAAACAATCTATCATTCTGCCTTCAACTATTAATTGCAGGATCATTTTGAGGAAAAATTTGTAGTTTACCTGTCTTATATTGATTTTAATACTTTGCTTTCCATTTGTTCCCTAGAGATTTTGATGCAAATCTGTATCTTTGTGAAGAAGCTTTTGGCCTCCTGCCTCTTAATACATTTGAAAGGCTTTCAGATACTCTGCTTTTCTATGCTTACATATTTGTTCTATCCATCACAGTGGTTGCAGCATTAGCTGTTGCCTTCCACAATCTCAGGTATGGTGTATTCAGAAATGTAATGCTGCGATGTTTTGATGAACTTGTTCTATGTTGCAAAAAAATTGTTAAGTTGGAAATCAAAATATCCGACACAGAACAGTGTGGTGTTATCCACCAGAAGAGGAAAGATATCCAAGTCAGAGTTAAGAGCACCAGGAAGCAGTGAGCGCAGTCTTACCTTACAAGGCTCCTGGGATGGAGTAGTCTTTGCGCTAGATGGAACCTTTCAGTATTTTCATTTCCTTATCCATAGCCTGGAAATACTAAGAGTACTTTACAGGGCTTTGTGAAAAATGAGTTAAAACAACATAAAGTATTTAAATAGTGCCTCATGTCTAGATGTTTTTGTAGATTTTCATTATCATTAGCTATAATTATTATGATTGACTCAAAGTCTTTCTATTTGGTCACATTAATAGTTTCTTGTGTTTTTCTACTTTTCTTCCTCTACCTTTTATATTTCTCACGAAATATCAAGAGTGAAATATTATTTGCTTGTTTTGTTGCATCTTGTTTAAGAGCATATAAAGTTACAGTAGATCATAATTATTAGCATCTACTAAAAAACCTTAAGGAATAATAAATAGATAAGCTTCTAAAACTCAGCATGTCTACTAATCTGCTAAAAGAAAAAGTTAGGGGGTATGAAGACTTGAAAACTTGCAGAAAACCTACCAATCAAGCTGATGGAGGCTTTGCACTTACTGTCCTTATTAAATTGAAAGAAAATTAAGTGTAAGAAGTTGAAACTACTGTCATTTATGAAAACTTAATGAAGCTCAGAAGGAAGCCCTTTTTCTATGTAGTTACCTTGCCAATTAAGTTGCTGGTGAACTGTGATTCACAGCCACCAGAGAGCTGTTCTGGGAAAAAGTCATTAAAATAAGCCCAGATCAGTTGAGGTGTTTCACGATTATTAAAAATGAAGCAACATTGAACCATGAAAATATTTCATTCACTATAAACTCTTTTAGTATCTTTCAGAAGTGTTCTGTTTTATACCTAGCCCAAGATAAAATTTAGCCCTGTGAAAATAGATGGAAATTATTCTAGACAGTGTAATTTAATATTATTCCAGACACACCAAGTGTCGCCAGGACTCTAGACTGCATGCAAAGCAGGACGTTCAGTTGGTCTGCAGTGTCTTGTGAAAACGTCTGCCATTCTCAGTGTGAATCAATGAGTCGTTTCTGGAAACTGATTTGGTTTATGAATATAGATAAAGATTTTAGAACATCCTCATCTATCAGGTAGGGATATTAGAGGAAAAGCACTACATTAATTAAAGTAATTTAAGAATTATAGTATCTTCATATGAATTTTTAAGTAATTTGAAGAATATTTTATCAATGCCAAGTATTTAAATTGTTCCTACCTTTTTAGTACTAGGAAGGCTGATACCATTACACTTATACAACACATCTGCATTAGTGTGAAAAACATAACTAAAATGTTCCTCCTCTATGTTCATAAGATGTGAGCTTCCCAGCTCAGGGACCAGGGGAGGGGGTGCACAAGTCCCCAGGCAACAAGGGGAGATAAGGGCATGGATTCTTCTTGTCTGCATTAACCTTTTAGTACCAATATAGAAGCTAGAGTTAGGCTTATAATAGATAATAAGTAAAAATCACTATCCATGCTATAAATTACCTTTAGAGTATTATTTAAATTTCCTTATGAATCTAGGGGGTGAAAGGATTTCTAGGAAATAATGTTTCTGTGGTTACCTAGACGTATCACACATATCCAAATCCATTGGATTTATATGAAGGACAAGGGTGCCTTCATAAAAGCATTATTTTTAACTTAAACTGGTCGCCTTTCCATTGTTTTCTTTCCCCCTCATGACACTTTGTGCAACATCCAAACACTTATCCACCTAAGGTGGAGACCTTCAGACAGTATGTGTATCCTTCCCAGTGCAGTGCCATATAGAACACATCCTACCCCATGAGGTGTTCTTGCCCAAAAAAATGAACTGGCCTCTAATTATCTACTTCTAGATCTAATTACAAATGTGTAAGATCCATGGAAATGGAGAAGTGCATTAAACACCACTGCCAGGAAACAATTAGCCAAATCCAGAAGGTGGGAAGAGTTATATGAAAAATGATACATTTTCTTCAACCACTAAATAGCCTTATAAGAAGGAAGAATACTTTTATGTGATTGAAGATAATTTTAAAAGATATGACAAAATGCAGTGTATAAGTTTTGGCTCTTGAATCAAAGAAACCGCCTATAAAAAAACAATTCTAATAAGCAGGGAAACTAGAACATGAGCATAGGTGATGTTTTAAGAAGTTGTTCTTGTCAGGTGTGATCATTTTAGTGTAGTCATAGTTTATAAAAGCTGTCTGAGAGGCATTAGTAGGTTAGAAGTGACCTATTGGTTCACAAAGGAACTGAATCCCAAGTTTATGGATACATTTTTTTTCTTGTTTGTAAAATATTGAAGAATACTGATAACTTGTAAAAACATCACTAAAGATCTCTCAGTTTCAGTGATTCCAAAAGATTTCTTTTTGTTATTTGTTCATAACTTAAAAGTTTGAAGCATTTTGATATTTTATTTAAATTTAAATAAAATCTATTAAATTTTAATTGTAATTATGACAAATTTAACCTCTTAAATTCAGAATTGATCATTTTATCTGAGGGGAAGAAAACATTTCTAGATATATGAAGGCATATGTTTCTGTGTCTTCAGGAAAAATTTAGCTGAATTATATATCCAGTTTCAATATTGTTTGTTTGCTACTTTTTATTCAGTGATTCGACAAGTAATCAGCAACCTATGGGTCCAATGGCAACTTGCACAATTGGCCTAAAGCCAGAAACTGCCTACAACCTCATACACACCATCCTGTTTGGAGTCTTGGCTTTGAGCACAATGAGGTATTTTTGCCTTACCCATTTATTTGGTGGTTTTATTCAGCCACTCTTTATGTGACATCATTTTGCAATATAATTTGGAAACTGCCAATCCCCTTCATTAGTGATCATGGTTTCCATGTAATTATTCTTGTTTTCTGGCTTTTCCCAATGTAAAATATTATTTATTTATAACTAGTTCTTCCTAATGACCAAAATTCTCTGTTTTTACTCATAGTTCCATAAAGTCGGTAGTATTCATCTACCCTTTTGAAAGACAGTGTTGACAGTTTCAATAGATTTTACTGTCACAGTCAGCACTGCTGCCTTTACAGCCACTCAGACGCCAGCTCCCTGCACAGCTAGCACGTGCTGACTTTTGCCTGTGCCTGCTCTTACAGAATGAAGTACCTCTGGACGTCACACATGTGCGTGTTTGCGTCATTTGGTTTATGCAGCCCTGAAATTTGGGAGTTACTTCTGAAGTTGGTCCACCTTTATAATCCAAAGTGGGTCAGTGCTGTCCCTTCTTCCATTCATTTTAGTGACTTAATATTTCTTTAATCCACCTTTTTATTTCAGAATTGCTTATACATTAGTCTGATAAAATGGATACACAATTTTGAAGCTAAAAATAGATGGTTGATATATTATGACTTTATATGGTATTAATTTTTTTTTTAAAGATGTATTTATTTATACAAGAACTGGGGTATAGGCTAGAGGCACGGGAGGGTGAGAGAATTCACCAGAGACAGAACCGGGAGCAGAACAGACAGATGGACCGAAGACACTGCTAAGGGGAGCAGCGTGCGAGGTAGGAGAGGTCTGCCACACCATGTGGTTTGCTCCCTGGCCGGCGGGGAATCAAACCCGTACTGCAGGGGCTGTGGACAGCTTCACAGCATGGCACTCAACCCGCTGCACCCCCAGGGAGGCCCAATATGGTATTAATTTTTAATAATTTTATTTAAAATTTTATTTTTTGAAGTATTTCTTTCTTAGACCTTATGTTAGATATATTTATTATACAGCACTTGGCAATAGAACAAGAAGAAAAAGTCACCAATAATCCTATAATCTACATCACTATTATTACTGTCATATATTCTCCTGTAAATAATTATTAATAAGTGTATGGTAATAATAAATAGCCTATAAATGCAGTTGTGAGCTGTTCTCCAGGGTAGAAGCTTATGTACCTTGTGACCTATTGGGACACCGACATGGACTCAGTTGTTTGCATATTTGAGGATCACGCTCCATTAAATTATATTTTTTAAGATATATGTTTGCAAAATTAACTTTTAAGACAAGATGCTTGTAATCCGAATTATTTTTTCTTACCAGATATGTGTAATGCGATACTCAGTACCGATATTAATACTGCTGTATCTGTGCTGTAAGGTAAGACTCATTTTCCTCATTCTTGTATTTAATTATTATATTCTGCTATTATTTAGCAGAATAATTGCTGTGTTACATTGCACTTTATATAATCCTTGGCAAATAGAGTGGTTGTGGAGGTTATTGCTATCTCCTTACCTTCTATAGCAGTTGGCTCTGATAAGGAAAACTTATCTGTTTTCTAAATAGTTTTTAACAAGTCAGAAATTATAGAAAAACTACTAGGATTTAATAATTCGAATTAATTCTCATTTTGACTTAGTATTCAGATGATGCAGTTTCTGAAAATAAAGACATTTACCACCCTATTTTGAGATGAATAAAGTAGGAAAAAATTTCCCTTGTCATCTATTAATACTTTGTATAGAGTCAGAGATTTTAAAATGCATTGTACTTTAATCCACGTGTTTCATTATATTAGATGCTTAAAGTCATCTTTGTAAGAGGATTGGGTATATATAAATGTAGTCTAAAATTAGTTTTTTCTGTCCTTCAGTTTCAGTAGGAAATAATGAAATTCTTCTTATTCTCAGTTGACAAATGTCTGAAACGGCATTAGCTGTGCTTCGATTCTGAGAATTCTCTGTAAGAGGCATTGAGTCATTGATCAGGTTGACTGTTTTGTGGCTCTTGTTTTGTCTTTGTGATTTACAGGCTGTAATTCTCACCTGGGAAGGTAGCCGGTTGTTTTATCCAGTTGAGCTCTCAGCCTCTCTTTTCAAAAACAAACCTTGTATTTTTTAAGTTTAGATGTTCTTACTTCAACTTTTGTTCTAAGTTAAAACAATGGATGTTAAACACAGTATAGAGTCCCTAATTTGGTAGGGTGGCTAAAGGGGGCAATGGTAACACCCCCACAGAAAGGATCAGCTTTGGATTTTATTTACATATATTTTCATCTAAGTTGTTTTGAAGTAAAAATTTTAGGCTAAAAAAAGTTTAGTAGTCACTATGTTGGATAATGCTTTTGTAAATATTTCAAAAATTATATTCTATTATGTTCTTATTTATCAAAACATTTACTATTATGGGCTGAACCCTGCACTCACTCTCAGGTACTGAAAAACAGAAATTGCTTATGTCTACCTCCCCGCTTCTGGGAATTTTATTACTGTGCTGTAAATAGTTAAAACTTCTTCAGACAGCTAGGAAGCAACAGTTAAGGATTAAACAAAATATAGATTTAACAATGAATGAGGTGATTTTACCTTTACACATTATTTTGAGGGATAAGACACTCTTCTCACCCAGAAGATACAGCTCATCGTTCTTTTCTCACAGCTAAAAAGGTCTGCACGCTCTAACAGTCTTTTCCCACGGCCTGTGTGGGTGGGCTGAGTCCATTTATGTCTCAGCTATTTTTTTTAATATATATTTTTTAAGATTTATTTATACAAGTACCAGGGTATAAGCCAGAGGTGCGGGAGGGAGGCGCGGGAATCTACCAGAGACAGAGCCGAGAGCAGAACAGGCAGACAGACTGAAAGCACTACTGAGGGGAGCAGAGCCAGACAGGAGAGGTCCACTGGGCCATGTGGGAATCTCCCTGGCTGGGTGGGAATCGAACCAGTGCCACGGAGGCTGCGGACAGCTTTACAGCGCTGCTCTTAACCCGCTGTGCCACCAGGGAGGCCCCTGTCTCAGCAATTTATTTGAAATTTGATTGACATTTTAAAGCTATGTGAAGACTTAGGTCTCTTGTTCTTAATACAATGGAGGGAGGGCATTGAAAAAGAAATAACCCATACTGTAAAGCAGGGGTCCCCAAGTGTCAGGGAGATTGGTGCTTGTGACCTCGCTTGTCAGAAGCACAGATTCTTAGGTCCCACTTCCAGACCTGTCTGTGAGTCAGAAACAGTGGAACTAGGGGCAAGAGTGCACTTTAACCAGCCCTCCAGGTGGGGCTAAGGCGCCATCATGTCTGAGAACCCTTGCAGAGAATGGGGTCCTCAACAGCAGCACTGTTGACATGTTACCCGGGTAACACTATGTGGGAGGGCGCTGTCCTGTGCAGGCTAGAAGTTTAGCCACATCCTTATCTCACACCCCCTGGATGCCAATAGCACCTCCCTCCAGGTGTGACAGTCAAAATGTCTCCAGACATTACCAAATGCCCCTTTGGGGGTGGAGCAAACCTTGTCCCTCCACCCCTATTGAGAACCGCTATCAGAGAAGAATTAGAGACTGCACTAGGAAATCTTTGTAGGCATCTTGAAGTAAGGGAGTTAGTATTTTAAAGAAGGCTTCCAACGACCACTAGTGGCTAGTGGCCCTCTCTCTTTCAGTATTGGATTTTAGGAGTAATCCTAACATATCTAGCTTTCACTGTACAAAATAGTTTAGATATTTCAGCTTCTCAAAACTTGCGAAATATAAATCAAGAAGTAAATAATGATAATATGTATTAGAGGTTACCCTGAAACTGAGTCTGTTTTCCAAACATTGAAGAGATTCGTAAGTTATATGAACTCATATATTTTGAAGTTCATTTAACACTTACTTTTACATTAAGATTACCACCAGACTATATCATTAGATTTTAATATTTCCAGAATTAACAGCTGCTTTCAAACTAGAAAATTATCAAATTATCTAATATCCATTGAAGTCACAGTCTTCAATATATATTTTATTTCAAAAGAATTAGAACATGTTTAAAAATTAGTATTCTATTGATTATAAAATTAATAAAGATAATGGATAATTGAAATTTTACAAAAATATCATTTAATCAGTTTTTATGTTCTAAAGTATAGAACCAGAAGAACTGATACCTGATTTTTTATCACCAGCAGTTTTCCTCATTCACCCACCCTGGAGACAAGATGTAAATGAGCAGTAAAAATAACCAAACGGGATGTCAGGATAAGAAAGTGATGGGGGCCTCCCCGGTGGCGCAGCGGTTGAGTGCTGGGTTGCGGAGCTGCCCGCAGCCTCTGCAGCGCCTGTTCGATCCCGGCTGCCGGTTGAGGGTCCCACATGGTGCGCAGACCTCTCCTGCCGCCCGCTGCTCCCCTCAGCAGTGTACTTCGGTCCTTTTGCCTGCTCTGCTCCCCGCTCTGGCTCTGGTGAATTCTCTCACCCTCCTGCACTTCTGACTGTACCCAGTGCTTGTATGAATAAATAAATAAATCTTTAAAAAAAAAAAAAAGAAAGTGATAGGACTAAAACATGACTACAGGCCAGTAAGATGCCCCTTTGCCTCTAGCTAGTGGCTCTTAAATAATTTTATTTTCAAGTTCAATGAAAGCATAGACACTTTGTCATTGGTATTCGATCCTAATATTTGGAATTAATTCTGCAGTTCACTTTAGGACATATATGATGAGCAAGTCCTTTTAGCCAATTGTCATTTGATAAAACATTTGATAAATATTTGGTTAACTGTTGAATAAACAGACAAGTTAGATTAGATAGGCAGTGGGCTCAGTATAATTTTCAAAGCTACTTGTCTGCTAACCCCAAGTTAGCTAGTCAATTAGGAGGTGCTGGTGGCATAAATATGGTATTCAAAACTACCAGATTTTCCTAGAGTCCTACTTTCAAGTATTCTTTTCTCCCATGGCACCTGTTAATTATATTTATATACCTCCAACACGTATTCACATTTCTAGTACAAAGTACATAACCCCCATGTTACCCAGTGCTAGGGGGCGAGATTCGGAGTCAGGTTCCAGGTCGAGGCGTTTCTACACTGTGAGCTTGTCAAGTCAGGTTATTTCTCTGAACTGAGGTCTCCATATGAACAAAATGAAAAATAAATAGTGATAGTGATTATCTGTCTCCCTGGATAATGGCGAGGATAAAATGAGATTCCAAAAGCATTTTTGCAGCTCTGAGATGGTGCTTGCCGTCTTCCCAGGGCACATGCTGCACTCAAGGGTGCAGCCTGTGTGAGGCTAGTCACATGCCCCCAGTACACTGTGAGCTTCCTCGTGGTACTCTTCCTGTCAGATCCAGGTCAATGTTTTACTTGATGTTAATAACAGATGCATAGCACTTTTTAAAGTAAAATAAAAGTTCGTTTAAAAAAATTGACAAAAAAATTAAAAAATTGACAGCACCTCTAGCCCTAATTAACTTGGCTCGAAATAATTTTGGAAGTTTTCTCAAACTTCAGCTCACTTTTCCTAGGAGAGTTGTGGTGCTAGTGGCCCAGCTGCATATTTATTTAGCTCCCAGATTATGTATAATTTCTCCTTTTCCATTTCAATCTTAGTGGCTGTTGTGGGTGTGGGTGGATTTTGGATTTATTTTGTTTTGTTTTTAATTTTAGTTCTGGCCAGGAATGATGGATGAACTCTCCGAGTTGAGAGAATTCTACGATCCAGATACAGTGGAGCTGATGAATTGGATTAAGTAAGAGAATCTTTTTCTTTTTTCACCTTTCAAATGTGACGTGCTGTTTAAGAGTCAAGGTAGATCTCATTTGGAGTTTGTTGTTGTTACCCTTCTTCCAAATCTAACTGTGAAGAAAGTCCTTTCTTTCTTTCAAAGTTTTTCTTAAAACTGTCTATATGAAGTACTATCTTTCTATTAAAGAAATGTTCTTTTCAACCACAGTCCTTTGCAGAAGGGAAAATATTCATCTGGAAGGGGCAACAGAATGGGGGATGCATTTCAAGCTCTGACTGCAGTAGAAATAAAGTTCTCTACTCTGCCAATTTTATCTTTATCGTTTTCTTTCATTTTATTACTGTTCAAATTTTCTATCAATGCTGACACATAAAAATAGTCTTTCCTTGTTAATCACTTAAAAATTATTCTGTAAGCTAAAGTTAATAAGAATTACAATAGCTCTGTGCCGATATCATATTAACTAATCATATTACACAAGCCTCGGCCTAGAGAGAACCTAAAATAAAAAAGCTCTTTTCCTCTCTGAACATCCTTTCATGTTACATTGGTTCTTATTTTCACCTGCACTTTGATGCTTTGCTTCAGCATTCAGCTTTGGAATGAAATCTGTGCTTCAAAGCTCTGGTCATGAAACCTGCCTCCCGCCAACAAAACCCGTTTTTCTAATCAGAGCAGCTTTCTTTCGCCTGTAATGCTGTGTTTCCCTGTGTTATAACCAAAACAGCAGCAGTGTGATTATTCACACTAAATAGATGTTGCAAATCTTGGGTGACACAGTCTGAAAGCTTGGGCTGTATTGTCCCCATCACTTAGAATTTTAGTAGCCATATTGGCACTTGCTCATGACTAATGTTTACTAACCAGTACAGTTTAGCACCGCTTGTGTATTAAGAGATGGTAAATGTTGGATAGCTTAGGTCTCTTGAGGGCAATACATGGATTTTATAGAGATTTATGCCTAAAATATATATGTGGCTTTGGTCCCAATGTCAGACTGAGTTTGACTAGATGCAGTGAGTATAATTTTTCATATATTTCCAGTGCTGAGAGTGCTAAGCAGTGCTTTGTCTTTATTTATTTATTTAACTTTAAATCATGGCAGACAATTATAGAGTAAGTAATTCCTTCAGTATTTATTGTGTATGGGAAAAGAGGGTTATTCCTATAAAGAAAAGCTAATTACTTTTGCATTAACTATAGTCAACTGGAAATTTATGACTTGCATCTGAAGGTGAGGCTGATATTTTCTCTTTTTAAAATTGCACTGTTAATACCATGCGGGCATCTCCTCTCTTATAGAATCCTGGAGTTGGTGGGTCTTCTGGATTGACCTGGATTAGCATGATCAGCATCTCACCTCCGTTTCTTTTAGCAGTTACTTGTAACCCCTTTACTGTTTATGCTAGCAAGCCCCCGCCTGTCTTTGGCTCTATCTTACTAGATGTCCATGCTGTAATACCTTTATCTTCATGCTTTCCTCACAGAAAGTTACTTAAAGTGACGTTGCTGGTCCTGAAAACTAGATGACAGATTGTTCAGGTGACTCCTCTGCTAGGAAAGCTGTCTGTCCCCCTCCTTGCTCTCCCTGTGTGTAGACTCATGACTTGTTTTAAATTCTCAGTAATGGAAGGATTTATATTGTTCAAAAAAAAAGTTGCTTCCATTGTCTTCTAATCTTGCCTGTTTTCCCTTAAAATTCTTCAAATCTAAATTATTGTTTTTGCAAAAATAGCTGCTGGGCATGTTTGTGAAATAAGTTTAAGTGATGATGAATGGATGCCAAAACAGGGTCTATTTTAGACACAAAATGTATTTGTTTAAATCAACGTTTAGATCAGCTCTTGGGTCCATAGGCTTCAATTCCAAAAACATGTGAAAGTACTTAATATTCTTTTCACCTGCCTTGACGTGTTCTGTTTTTGAAACAAAATACGACCTTCAGCTTTCACATCACTGTCTGTGATATTGGTTGGTCTGGGCTGCACTGGAGAAAAGGCTGGGCTGAAGATGGGGGTTGGTGGCTGGGTGGCTATTGGAAATTGTCTGAAGGCAGCAGCAGACCCCTGTGGGGAGCCAGCCCTGTTAGTAATGGACGCCACTACCTCTCGTTCTTGCCACTTCTGGCCCCCATCCTTAGCTTGTGTCAAAGCTACCAGGACAGCGTGTATTGGGGAGGGGGTGCAACTTTTGTTACAGCATGACTGCCTTCTGGGATGAGTCTGGACTGTGGAAACTAGGAGATCCCTCAGGGCCTCTCCATTTGGTGCTGGGCAACTCTTTTTTTTTTCTTTTTCTTTTTTTTTTCTTTTAAAGATTTATTTATTTATTTATACAAGCACTGGGCACAGTCAGAAGTGCGGGAGGGTGAGAGAATTCACCAGAGCCAGAGCAGGGAGCAGAGCAGGCAGAAGGACCGAAGTACACTGCTGAGGGGAGCAGCGGGCGGCAGGAGAGGTCTGTGCGCCATGTGGGACCCTCAACCGGCAGCCGGGGATTGAACCGGCACTGCAGAGGCTGCGGGCAGCTTCGCAACCCAGCGCTCAACCGCTGCGTCACCGGGGAGGCCCTCTTTTTCTTTTCTTAATGAAATATTTCTTATTAGTTTAATACAGTTTAATAATGATTTTTAGATGGAAAAAAGCTTACAGAGACAGTAAAGCAGAAACCATAGCTGTCTGTATAAAAAGAAATAACCAAAAATTATAAAACACCATAGACATAATTGAAAAATAATAATCTGAGACAATATTTGAAATGCATAAGCCAGAAAATATTAATAATACTTATATGCAAGGTGATTATATGAAAAATAATTACTTCAAGTAATTAAAGGAATAGGTGATCACCATGATAGAAAAATGATCAAAGGTCATGAACAAATAATTTTCACAAAGTAAAAGAAATATATCCTTTCAATAAATGTGGAGCAAAGATTAAGTGTTGCTGTAAGAAACAACCACCATGGCCCAGACTGTGCCAGTGCACTTGATGCAGGAGCAAGCCTTCTCCCCGCTTTGGGTGAGGTGTGCTCCCAGGTCTGAGCTTCCGTTGAGACTAGATGTTTCCAAATTCCCTGAGGCTTTACTGCTTGAAGAGTGAGTGAAAGAATTCATCACCTCAGCCCAATTCAGTTGTTTTCTTTACTCTTTGAGGGGCTCAGTAAGGACCTTTCAGAGGCTAAACAGATGGCCTCAAGGGAAAATAAGGGGGATTCCTCTAAGCACTAACTAATATGAGTGGTTACACTAGAGGGATTTGTTTTCTTTGAAATAATTTAAAGCTTACTGTATAAAGTTGTTTCATATCTGAAGTTGTCTACTTATCGATAAACAATTCTCCAGAAATGTTGTGCACCTGCTGTGTGTCCACAGGACGCTCTGGACAGGCAAACACTGGGTGGCAATCCTTTCTGCCTGCCTCTTTGCTCACCTCAGCACTGTTGTCTTCATTCATTTCTCCCACGGAACTGTCAGCTCCATTTATAGAGGCCTACCAGGTTTTAGTGGGAAAAACTTTCAGAGTCATTTTTAAGAACAGAAATGTTGTTTAATCCTTTCCCTCTTCAGTTCCTCAGAGGAATCAAGATTTTAAAGTTAGGTATAAAACCAAGATTACTGGGCCTCCCCCGTGGCACAGTGATTGAGCGCTGGGTTGCGAAGCTGCCCGCAGCCTCTGCAGTGCCGGTTTGATCCCCGGCTGCTCCCCGGCCACCAGAGGAGGGTCCCACATGGCGCGCAGACCTCTCCTGCCGCCCGCTGCTCCTCTCAGCAGTGTACTTCAGTCTGCCTGCTCTGCTCCCCGCTCTGGCTCTGGTGAATTCTCTCACCCTCCCGCGCTTCTGACTGTGCCCAGTGCTTGTATAAATCAGTCAATCAATAAATCTTTAAAAAAAAAAAAAAAACCAAGGTTACTTAGGGATTGCATTTCTCATTATTTTTCAAAGACATTTTATTTTTCAAAGACATCTCAGCATCTCCTCTGAGAGCCAGAGGTCAGCTCATCTGTGCCTCCTGCAGTCCGGGCCTGGGTGATCCCCCACATGACCCTGAGGTGCCACATGCCTGTGTTCCAGCAGATTCAAATGCCCTGTTCACTGATAATGTTTCCTGGATACAGAGATGTAAAACCTTGGTGTTTTTTATCTGTTTGTTTAGTTTTTGGTTTTGCTTTTTGGTATGTCTGCATAACCTTGGTGGGACTTTCAATAGGTCTTATATGTGATTAGAAAGCACACTTACTTCAGCAAGACCAAATGCTACAGCAGTTGCTGGTCCATACGTCATTCCTCTATGTCCTTAGACCATTTTAGTTTGAGGTTCCTGAAATTTTTCTTTCATAGGATGTAATTAAGATAGACAGACTTATAGATTTGAATATCCTGAGGTTGACATTTAAACTACTTGGCTTTAGGAGATTTCTACTGGAAACAGTCTCTTTCCAGTGATGAAGCCTACGTGTGCAATATTTTCACAATGGGACTACAAAAAAGGACCAAAGTTTCTTCACGTTTAATCAAAGCAGAAAGAATTACTGTATGTTTTAAATATGATGTAGGTTAAATCCAGACTTTAAATGCCTATAGGCTTCTTTTATTTTTAATGAATCATTTTGTAGTATTTGCATAATTTCGTAAATTTTTGAAGTGTAAGTAAGGGAAACGTTCACACATTATATTTTAATGCTCAGTTTACCTATTAGTTCCACAGTAATTAACTTTTTAAAGCTGAGAGCTTCAAAAATAAATGAGATTATTTGTTCAAAATACCATCAGGTCTTCCTGGAATGACATTCAAATTATATAATGTAAATCCATTTGACCTGTGAGTCCTTGTCATTATTTAGTGACATTTCTTACAGAAGAAATTGTTTGCAGGTTGGGCAGCCTGCTATGGAGCTTGGTGTAGAGCTATAAAAACAAATTATCCTTTCATTTTATACATCATTTATTCAAACATTGGTAAAAATTGCTTTGTTTCTCTATAATAGAGAAGTGTCATTCAATGGTTAAAAGCACATTAGCTATTTTAGACACACACCACAGGCTCGCTCAGCGAAAGTATCTGGGAAGGAAGAACACCCAGCATTACACCTGTCATACTGCACATTTTTAGTTAAAACCAAATAATCCTTTTCCCCCTTGCCTGCGAAGTTTACCACAGAAAACATAAAATACAGTGAATACAGGTTTTGGAAATGTGTGATTTTCTGCTTTTAATTTTGTTCTACTTCACTTTTGCTTGTTTTACTTATCTATATACTTTAGAGGTAAACTTAAATATTCAGAGTAGCAGGGAAATATTCCAGATTTACCGTGGGACTAGAATATGATGCCAAGTTAAACAGAATAAAGTGAATAAGCATCATCTCTCCTATGCTTGGACGTCAAAGTTTCCAAAGAAGTATTGTTTCTAACTCCTTTTATAGGTGTTAGGCTCTTTGTATTTTTCTACTTTAAAATAAAACCGAGGACCTCGGTGAATGAACAGGTTAACAGTCCAAGGGGTTGACTTTGCTAACTCTTCACTAAAGAGGCCAAACATAAAAAGATATTACAAATGAATGAGCTTTATTCCATTTTTCCCCTCAACTCCTCTAAGCCATCGTAACTGATTACTTTGCTCTGCTGGGAGATGGGGGCTGCTGGGTGATAGGACAGGGGACTCTCAGTCCTCAGTGTATACTGAAGAGAGGCTGTCCTTATGTGATAGTATGGCCTTACGTGATAGCACGGTGTTTCTGTCCCAGCACCACTAAAGGCCTGCAGGGGGCATTAGTGAGCATATAGTGGACTAACCACCAGTTTTCTCCTCCTTGATTGACCGCAGTGGGAGCTGAGTTAGCTCTGTTAGCTAGTAAGCTTCTTGAAGACAGATTATCACATGTTTGCCAGTCCAGCAGTCAGTCATATTTTTTAACCCAACAAAGAATAACTTCCCAGGACTTTTGACATTTCAAGCCTTTGTGAACTATGTAATTCATCAAAGTATTGTGATTGTTGCTCCAGCAGCTCGATGAAACCTTGATTGTTAGCCATAAATAGATAGCAGGTCAGGCATCTGTCTCTGCCACAATTATAAAATAAGCGCGATAAACAGCTCTGGGCCTCTCCCCCGGGCTGATACCTGTTATATATTCACAACAGCGCTGCTAAGACAGTCTTACAGCTTGGATGTTATCAGCTCAGCTGCTGGATTTGCGGTTTGTGTAGAAAGAACGGCTTGGCACTCTAGGCAGTAAGGCTGTGCGTGCCAGGAGAGCTTACCCCAAAGCTCTCGCCTCTGCTGCGTACTCTGCCAGACACTAGACCCTACTTACTTTCTCCCTGCGTTCAAGGCAGTTTAGGTCAGGGGGCCCATAGACAGACCCTTTTTGGCATTAATATGTGATGTTATTGTATTGTTTATTGCAGTGAAATGGTGTGTGCCAATGGGAGGTATACAAAAGAAAGAAGACTAACTTAAAAAGATAATGGTGTTTGCACCAATTATTGAGTGTCCACGTCTGTCCTCTCCAGCTATTATGGCACACTTTAAGTGGGGGCAGCATGCTATGTAAGGCATGGCTAAGTGCTTACTAAGTATTAATGGAATTAAACTGAATTTTTGTAAAACCTTTCACTAAGGAAATCAATGCACCTTCTCATGTTTTTATGCAAATCCTCCTGTTTCCTTGACCATATGGGGCAAATCAGGACTTCTTTATAAGAGTGCTGGTTCAGGGAAGTGAGCAAACATCTATGGGTCTGATTGTCAGCATACTCAGGCTCATATAAGACTTTTTCTATTGTCTACATTCTGGGCTCTGGCATGACTAGGGGAGGAAGCAGCCTATTGTCGTTCCCTGTCTGCTTGCTATAATCCTGTCCACTTTTTTCCATCACTTAAGAAATGAATGTGACTGTCATTGTTAGAAAATCTTGAATTTTTCAGAAGTGCATTATTTATAAATGTTACCATGGAACTGTGGGGTATCTTGCTTGGTGCAGGCATCCAAGGATAGCATCCATGGGCAGCGTCAACATTAAGTTGGAATAAGCAGAACATCCTCACGGGACATACAGATATGAGGGGGCTTCTCTTAGAAACTTCTGCACCAGAGCAAGCTTCACACGCTGCTCTCCGAAAACACTGAGGGCAACAGACTCTGCTAGCATTTTCTGTTTTAATTTCTGTTTTAATTACTTGAATTAGATTCCTTCTCAAAACTCCTCCATTGGAACTGGCCCTCAAGCACAGACTCCTCTTTCATACATAACACAAGGATAATTGTACCTTGCAGTATTCTGCGGGGTCGCCACAGGAAACTCTCATTGAGAGGAATCTACAGAAAAGCTGTTATCATCTTCACTATAAAAATGACACCTCATCCATTTGCAATTAACTCCCAGATTTCAAAAAAAGTGGAAGGGAATTAAATCAAATACTGAGATTCTTTTTTTCCGGGGCGGGGATGGGGGGGAGGGGGGATGTTTTTACGTCATTGTCCTTCATGGGGAGGCAGAGACCCACACCTTGATGAATCGGAATATGAGATTCTGATTAAATATGAGGGTGCCCTATATGCCTGCAGATGTGTATAATTTTTCATAGTCAGGACTAAAGACAAGGAATATACAAACTATTTTCGTGTTTCTATAACAGGAATGCTGCATATGCCCATATTGAATGATATTTGCTATTTCAGAATCTTCTTTCCATGTTCTTCTGTGTTTACTAGTTCTGTTTCACTAAAAAGTAATTTATAGTAAGATCTGTGATCTGTCTTTTCTTGTTTTAAACAAAACCCCTTGGAATTGGCTTATAATCAATGGCAGTTTCTGGCTTTATAATTTGTTATTTTACTCTAGGCAGCCCTTTAGTTCAGTTTAATACAAAAAGCATTGGCAACCTTTTGAGGCTTTTTTCTTTTCAGAATGTGCCCCCCTAGAACAGAAGCAGGAGTGAATCATTGGCTTTAGCCTGGAAGACTTACCTCAGGAGATACCTGCATCTAAGACAATTCATTATAAGAGTGAACCCATCAGAACAGTACATGAGAAGCTTCCCAATCATTGCCAAAAACAGATTTGTAAAATAAATTTGAGTGCAAATCAGAAACTCAAGCAGCCTCCTCTGTTTTTTTCCGACTCTTAACACTTCCTGATATAGCTGGGGGAGTCTGAGAGTGTGATAGTGTCTTTGTTGTTGCCTTTGAGGAAATCTTAGCACCAGGGTTAATTCACAATCTCAAATCTTCCAGCTCTAACACCCCGAGAAAGGCTGTGTTTGCTGGCAGCATGCAGTTGCTGGCCGGGGTCAAGCTGTGCACTGGCAGGACCCTAACCAACCACCCGCACTATGAAGACAACAGCCTGCGAGAGCGGACCAAAGCGGTGAGGGCCGGTCGGGGCAGCGGGGGTTCCTTGTGCTTCTGAGTTGCTAAAGCTGGGGCTTAATGCTGTGTGTAGGTTTTGAAGGGAAGTCAAAACGTAGGGACTCACATCTCCTGATGCTCATCTTTGGCCTGCCCACATCCATCGAAGGCCTGCTGTTTAGACCATGTGTTTCTCCCTGTTAGAGTAACTGAGAAGATAAAACACCTCAAGATGTGAACTGGAGAGAGAAGGAAAAGGAGTAACACATACTGGTCACATTTGTTACGGACCTTCTCGTGTGTGTGTGTGTGTGTGTGTGTGTTAATAGTTACTACAGCCACAAAGTTCAAAGCTCAGCACATACAAGAGGGGGCATAAGAGTGTCCCTCCTATCCCTGTCTTCTAGCTCCTGCTGGCTCTGCCCCCGCCCCCCAGAGGCAACTAACGTTATCAGTTTCTTGTGTGTCCTCCCTCCTTGTGTACCTTCCCACAGGTGTTTCATGCACATACACATATGTATACACAGGTTCATACTCTTCCCCCTTCATTGTTTTTTTTTTTTGTTTTTTTTTTTAAGGAATAGTGTCCTACATCTTTCTTGTTTGGCTTTTCATATATTTTGGACATTATTCCATTTCCAGTATATCCCATCAGTAAATTTTTTTTTTTAAAGATTTATTTATTTCTACAAGAACGGGTACAGGCTAGAGGCGCGGGAGGTTGAGAGAATTCACCAGAGACAGAGTGGGGAAAAGAACAGTCAGACAACCAAAAACACTGCTGAGGGGAGCAGCGGGCGACACAGGAGAGGTCTGTCGCGCCATGTGGGTATTTTTCTGGCTGGCTGGGAATTGAACTGGTGCTGCAGAGGCTGCGGACAGCTCCACAGCGCTCTGCTCAATCTGCTGCGCCACTGGGGAGGCCCTCCCATCCAGTGAATTAATCAGTGCTCTGATTAATTTTTAAAGGTACACTGTGCTTTGTTATGTAGATATGGCATAACATCTACTTATTTTTTGCAATTTTCTGAACAAAGTTCCAAACAGTAGACTTGCGGCATGTCAATCTAGATGGGTGAGTGGACGCCTGTCATCAGGCCCTGAGAGGTGAAATTGCAGGGCAAAAGACATGGGCACTTGTCATTTACATGACTTCTACTAAGTTGCCCTCTGTACAGATTGTACCAGTGCATTCCTGTCAGCCTTGCGGGAGGGAACATGTCTCCTACCCTGCAGTCCTTACCAGTGGTGGTTTCATTTATTTATTTTTTTAAAATATTTATTTATTTATTTATACAAGCACTGGGTACAGTCAGAAGCGCGGGAGGGTGAGAGAATTCACCAGAGCCAGAGCGGGGAGCAGAGCAGGCAGAAGGACGGAAGGACACTGCTGAGGGGAGCCGCGGGCGGCAGGAGAGGTCTGCGCGCCATGCGGGACCCTCCTCCGGTGGCTGGGGAGCAGCCGGGGATCGAACCGGTGCTGCAGAGGCTGCGGGCAGCTTCGCAACCCAGCGCTCAACCACTGCGCCACCAGGGAGGCCCCAGTGGTGATTTCAAATTACTAATGTTTCATATCAGTCACTTTTTAATTTTGATAGCTGAAAGTTGCTGAAAAGTCTTACTTTGGAGTGAGATTTGACTAGCCTAAAAGCAAATCATTTTTACCAAGTCCTCTGTTTTGTTTTTTAATGAGAATCATCTGAGTTTATATTCCTGCTAAAATGGGAACTATAAATTGGCCCAAGCATTTTAACAGCTGCAACTTGGCCCCAGACCCAGAATTTAGCCAGCAGGTTACCTGTGTGCTTGGACTCAGGGGATGCCGGAAAGGCTTATCAGCTGCTGGGAGTCTGCCTGTGCTGCATCCTCGCCAGGGTCTATCCCTGTCTGGTTAGTTTTGTGCCCTAAAAGCTGATGTCCTAAAGGTCCTAGGCCCTTCTTTAGTCCTGACCCTTTGAATCTGTGGGATGCCTCCAGTCTGAAGCCTGGTGCTGGACATGAGGGAATGATGTCACCGGTTAGGAGAAGCAGCTCACCTCCCACCACTTTACCCACCATACAACTAATTAGGTGCTACAGACCCAACCTCCCAAGTCAGAAACCTATTAAAAATCAGTGGGCAGCATAGGAAACAATATCTCTCATTACCCCCAACACACACACACACACACACACACACACGACCTTTTCCAATGCCAATGCCAAGTCCCAGAATATAGGACACTCAGTATCCGTGAATATTCACTTAAATTGTGTGGCACTGGTGGTGAATGGAAGGTGGAACCACTTTTGAACCTCCACTGGATGCTATAAATTGCTCTTGTCCCAGGAAAAATGAGAAGTGTAGGATCCCCTGGTCAAGCAGGGTGGCACAGAGTAGTAGTAAAGCAACAAGTGCTGCCCCAGCCTAGAAGCAGGGACTTCTAGGGGGTGCTTTCCCCAACTGCTATTATCAAAACTGGGACCCCATACACCCTCAAACTGTACTACCCTCATACCAAATACACCGTTTTAATCCAAATGTCCCATTTGTAAAGGTTGAGGCTATGGCTTATTTACTCAGCTATGTCACTTACCTTGCAGAAGCAGTCTCAGAAGGTCTGCTGATGAATATATTCGTAGCTTAAAATATTACACTGTCTAAAGCCAACGTATTCAGCGTGACTCACTCCCCCCTCTTCCCAAGGCCAAGTCATGGCAACGTCCCTTTGGAAACGTCACCGCCCGCCCCCCTCCACCCCCCTCCACCTATCCCTTCCCCCCACCCCTACCCTCATACCCCTGCGGGCCTTGCACGTGAGCCCGAGTGACAGTGAGAAGCCCAGAGCATCCGGCGCGCTGGGGTCCTGGTCTTACGTTCAGCCGGTGGGCAGTTATGTCATTAGATATTCCCCCGTGACCTTTCTGGTAGTTAAGTGGCATTTTACCCTATTCCCTTTTTTATCTCAATCCGAAGGTTTATCAGATATATGCAAAGCGGTCTCCAGAGGACGTGCATGCGCTCCTCAGGTCTTTCGGCACCGACTATGTCATCCTGGAGGACAGCATCTGCTACGAGCGGCGGCACCGCCGGGGCTGCCGGCTGCGGGACCTGCTGGACGTCGCCAACGGACACGTGAGCACAAGGGCGCCCGGGGACCAGGAGTCCAGGTGGCTCCCGAGTAGCGGGAATCTGTTTCTACATTGCCGTGATAGGATTATAGCAGAATCGAGTACTCGACTTTGGCTTGTATTCTGCAGAACTTGCTACCCTGGCATTTGAGTGACTGCCACGGGGGCTTGGGAAGAGGAAGCTCTAGGTCCCCAGCTGGTGGCCAACAGAACAACTCTCATCAGCTGGTTTGTCTGGTGAGGGTTCGCATAAAAATTTGGGTTTTTTTAAGGATTTTGCTGCTAAATAAAAAATAAGACCTCGGCTTTTATAAACCACTGTCCAGAGCATCAGTTAAGTCATATGTGAGTGATGGACAGCAGTGTCTCCCCTCTCCCAGCCATGGTCTTGCATTCTCACCACTCTACCTGGGGGTGCACACTGGGGGTGCCCCTTTTTCCACTGGCCCATTTCCACAAAGACAGGTCCTGTGAGATGACCCAGCTTGCACTCCCAAGCAGGAAAACAAGCCCTTCTTCGTCCTCCCTTCTCAGGAAAATGTCCCTGGATCTATTCCAGGCCTCAAGTAGAGTGAGCAGAAGATTTTCACCCTTTAGCTGTGGAGTGTGCTATAATCATTGCATACAGAAGCTGACAGATATTTATAAAATGAGTGAGAAAAATGATGAACTTAGCTTAACTCTGAAAAAAAAAAAAAAAACCCACTGTACAGAATGTGAAATTCAGAACACCTTAGATCTACTCTCTTAGCAAATTGCAAGTATTCCAGGCAGTTCCGTTAACTACAGTTTCTCCAGGCTGTGCACTAGATCCCCAGAAAGTATCCATCACATCACAGGTTTGTCCCTTTGACCAATGTAGATGGCTTGACTATGGTTAATTACTTTACAATGGATGTGTATCTCAGGTGGTGCCCTGAGTATATACGATTTTATTTGTCAGTCATACCTTCATAAAGGTGGGGGGAGGGATATGAGCTCCAGGTTTTTGCCCAAGGAAAACAGCTGTCTGTAGCTGTCTTGAATGAAGAGAGATGCAGACCAAAGGCATGCATTTAGATTTTGCTTTATGTGTGACTTTTTACTGACCAGGCCTACTGATAAGTTGGAGAATTTTCTCTGGTCACAAATAATTCTCTGTATTTTTTGTATGTCTGAGGAGCAAGTCTTAAGAATAAGGAGATCCAAGTTCTGCTTCTAGCTTTGCCATTGAAGGGGGTCATTGTGTGACACTGAACTCTCCTCCTCAGCCTTGGTTGACTCTGCTGACAGGGAGGAACAGACCAGGCCATCTTCAGGTCCACTGACATTGAAATAATTGTTATGTTCACTAGCCTGTCATCTTAAAGAAAACCAGTACCTGCTGCTGTATCTGTTGTCTCTTAGAAAGATGAGCTTTTCCCAAGTTGTGTTTGGTTTGGCTTTGGCTTTAGATGATGGATGGCCCAGGAGAGAATGATCCTGACTTGAAACTTGCAGGCCACCCTCGTTTCTGTGAAGAGATCAAAAGAAACCTGCCTCCCTACACCGCGTACTTCACCAGAGTGTTTCAGAACAAAACATTCCACGTTTACAAGCTTTCCAGAAGCAAGTAACAAAGCTTCCTGTTCAATCTCTATTTTTCATACCTGAAACTTCATCATAATGAGACTCAGTAGATAATGTTTCATATGTGATTGGATAGCCCTTACCTTAAAGCTGTGACATGAATAAGTTCTACAGATGTTTACACAAGCATTGCCATCTTTGAAAGTATCTTATACAAATGTGTCTTTTTCTGTCTAGTCTCCATGGATATTCTCTAGCCTAAATGTTCTCAGCTTTCTAAGATTGATCTAGAAAGTTGTCTTTGGGAAGAACCGTATGTGTCCATAGATGCCCTGAATAGCCATGTATCATGTTGACAATTCAGAGCCTGTTTGGGGTATGAAATACTCATAATTTTTGTTTGACTTACGACAACCACATGTGGTTGAATTGAATTGAGAGAATGCATAATTAGATTATTTAATACTATTTCACTAGTGAAGACCAATTGGTGTCTTTTTTAAAAAAGCTTTTTATTGTCCTGTTTCACCTAAACATTTTATAATGTTTTCCAATTTTCATGCTTTTAATATTTCCCCAAAAATCATGTTAAGCCTGTGTATGAATCTCAAATTTTGTTGTGCTCTGTCCGAAATATAGTGTATCATGTATTAAGTTGTGCGTGTGCATTTGTGTGCACACATGTGTGTGCATGTTTTAATGCTGGACACCGAAAAGTGTTACAAGTTCCGTATTGTAAGTCTTAAAGGGACTGAAATGTTATGTAGCCACGTGAAATTTGTTAGTGTTCTGTGTTATTATTTTGAAGCCTACTGATACTACTTAACCTATCCTGCAGCAAGTAAGATAATTTTTCTTTATTTCTTACTCATTTAAATTTACTGGGTTTGCAAAATTTTGTAAACTTTTTGCTTTTAGCCTTTGTATTTTTTTATAGCCTAGACCCTTGCAAAGTCTAAATACTTTTTAAATGTTGTATCTTAATGAATCCACTTATACAATATTTTTGGCAAAGAGCATTTTCATACCAAGTTTGACTGTGGTCTCCAATCTTACTACGAGGGCCCTAGTAGTATCATTTTTTTTCCTTACTCAAAGGTAACCAAGTGCCTCTAAGTCATACTGATTTGTAAACAACAAAGAGGATGTGTGTACCTGCTCAAAATTTTTTGATAATTGCTTTTATAATTAATTTCTAGTGCAGAAGACTTGCAAAAGTTGCTGATAAAAGTTTATTGTGCATTTAATTAAATCAAAATGCCTAAGGAAATTAACTTTCTACCCTGTTCTTGCCAATTGGAAATGATTTAAATGTTTTTCCTTGCCATTGTAGTAAAGTAAATGACTGTAGACATCAAGATCAATCTATCACATGTTCAAATGATTTTATATTTAGTTACTACATATTAAGCAGCATTCAGAAAAAAAATTTGCACTTTCATATTGAACTCAAGGATACTTGGCTTTTATCAAAACGTATTTAAATAAAAATTTGACAGTAGCTGGGTTATTAAATTATGCAACTGAAACTCCTGAATTATATCTTTCCTGAATCCCTTTAATAAGGTTGGAGACCACTGCAGTTTAGGCTAATACAATAATAAAACATTTTAATCAGCACTAAAACTTTAATGAAGCCAGTAATGATGCATGCCTGTTGTAGCTGACAGCATGGGTCAGTACATCCTTCAGCGAGTGCCTTACTCTAATTGAGACTAAGCACATGTAAGGTACAACATTTTAGACTCTGTAGTTTCATTTTTAAAATCCTCCTTTTCCTTCTCCGACATATTTCAGTTTGTTTTAAATATTCCTATATGCATCAATCTAAATATTTGGGTATTTGGATTCTCAATATATATGAGAGACGCACTTAAACTTTTATGCTTATCATCAACACATTGATGGCATACGGTAATCTTTTTATCATAGTCTAGCTGCCATTGTTGCCACAACATTTAGTGTTTAGTCTTTAATAAAAAATATAAAGTGCCAGAAAAAAAATTTTTGCAAGACAGAATCCATACCTACACTCTCCAGGACACTGTGACCATGTACAGTAGACATTTTTATTTCCTAATGACCAAATCTTTTAATGAATCATGTGAAATATTTTTAGTGCTTGTCAGTGTTCTCTTTTATGACTTCTCTCTGGAGTAGAGAGAAGGAAAAAGAAGAAAAGCGACTGACTCCTGGCTCTTTACCAAGCCAAAGCAAGTGACCTGTGACCTAAGCTCCCTGCTGCGCAGATCTTGGTGGCTGTGTTGATGTCAGGCAATAGCCTCAAATTGTATGTTTTTTACAGATAGAATAACTTGAATTTGCTTCAGAATTAGCATTCGGAAGAACCTCTAAGTAAATAAGTGCTCTTAATTAACCTTTACTTACAGGACTCTCCAGACCCGTTGGTAGCCTCCATCCTCCTGTAAGCTGAAGCCCTTGCTGGAGGGCTGCTCCCTGGTATTCTCTCACACACCTCTGCTCCCTCTCTTGAGTTCGAGGTCCATAGCAAACTTCTCTGTGCCAGTTCTGCTTCTTACTGTAAGGACACAATTCACCATACACCAAGGAAATATGAATGTAAAAATGAAAGGGTTATTTCTGCAAAAATTAATTTGAATGCTTTGGCAAAATTTGGTAAAGGTTGAGTTTCTAATAAAAATTGCTTTAATGTAGCCGTGGTTGGGAAAATTACAAAATTTTGGGAAAACAGAATTCAAGAAAATTTCTGAGCTTAGATTGCATCATACATTTATATAAGTACTCATTGCACCTTTAAAAACTCTTGACTGATCAGAGGGTATTAAAATATACCCAAATCATTTAATTAGTCTGATTTATGTAAGACTAGAACTGTAACCGTTAGACTCTTGTGCAAAGGAAAGGTCTTGGCTTTATATCAAAAGATTAGCAAATGCATGTGCAATTGTGCACTTAAACTTATGCTTCCCTGTTTTAACCTACTTGCTTCATTAAATGACCAACTACTGATACTGATCACAGTGGCTAATAAGGATTCTATAATAGCCGAAAGGTTCCAGTCACTTTTAATACAGACTTTTAAAAAATAGGAATTCATTTCAGATATACTAGCCAGGAGCATAATTACATGCTACGTAGGCCATTTATTGTTCACTTAGAGATGATTTATTGACCCTTGTGAGATCAATTGATAAAGTGTGTGTGTGTGTGTGTGTGTGTGTGTGTGTGTGTTTTGGGTGGGGGGATTCTGCCAGGTGTTGAAGATATATGTAAATATTTCATCTTGTCTGTATCTTCACAATTAACTAAAAGTGTTTATTATGATTCCACATGAACTTTGTCTAAGATATAACAATTTTAAGTCATCTTTGGCCAAAACCTACCTGAATGGACATAAAAATATTCCATTTTTAAAATTTCATTTAAACCTTGGAATTAATTGGAACATATTAAAATATTCTCAGATCATGTATCTTGATTAATATGCTCCCAGATACTTTATATATGACAACCTTTTGGCCTAGAAGAGATTGTTCATCTGGTCATGCAGAAAGCTTTTTAAATGAGCGTGTGGCTTACTTTCTTGTGCAATTGATTTTCTGTATTTAATATCCTATAGGTAAAATCTGACAAAGAGCTTTTATAACTTGTTGTACTGGATTGTATGGAGATTGTATACTAAATAAAGCTCTTTTTAAGTTAGACAAGATGTCTTTCATTTCTTTGAATGTCAAAACCCAAGGAACTGAATTATTAAAATGTATTAAATATGCACTAAATAGTATATGGTCACTAAAGATGAATATGGCAAGGTCTACATTAGTCTTGCTAATGTTAAAGGACTTGGAGAGTTTTGTGGGTTGTTTTTTTTTTTTTTTTCATGGAATTTGGTTTTATAACTACCTGTTTGTTTCACTTGAACCTCAAAGTTATAGTTTAAATTTCTAAAGAGAAGGCTGCTATCAGCACAATGTATCCTCAAAGAGATAAATGCTGTTTGTTTTGACCTTTGGAATTGTTTCTATTTCTTGATTAAATTCTCTTCTTTAGTAATTTGGGAAGATGGGAGGTAGTCTACATTTCTGTATGAGTGTATCGATAACAAATGTGTCTGACTGTTAATGTTCAAAAAAGATACTGAAATTCCAAGCAGAAGTGATCAGTGTCTGATATATTTCCAGCCAGAAGAAACTGGCATTGGGTCTCAAATATTCTGTAATCACTAGCACTCAATCAGTAATAGCTAGGAATTAATAAAAAGCAATACTGACAGAACTGAAATAGAAACAAAGCCACAGTCTAATCAGATATTAGAGTTTTTAGCATAGACTTTAAAATAGCTATGCTTATTTAAGAATTTAAATGACAAGATGGAGAATTTTGGTGAACTGAAAACTAAAAAAAAGAACAATGGAAATACTAGAACAGGAAAATACAAGAAATGTGCACTCAATGATGGGTTAAATAGCAAATTAGACACAACTGAAGAGAGCACCAATCAACTGGATGATAGTTTAGAAGAAAATATTCAGACTAAAACATAGGTGAGGGGATGATGAACAAGGAAAGAGCATCAGGTATATTAGAACATTTCATGGTAGGTGTCACTGATGTCCCAAGGAGAGGAGAGAATTGGTCATGTGACTTTCAGCAGTCTCCTTATATTCTTGGCATGTTTCTTTTTTCTTTTGTAAATGGAGGTATAATAATTATTATTTATTGGGTCAAGGGGTGGATTAAATGAGATACTGCGTAAAGCACTAGGCCCCATACTCTGCACATGGTGAATGCAGTAGATGGAATTGTGGGGTAGTGTCCTCACTATCAAGATTAGAATGTCAAAGAGAAAGTATGAAGAACAAAGTATGTCAGTCAGACAGGTACTAAAGAGCCCTTAGTGATTTTATGTGAACTTTTCTGACTGCAGAAAATATGATTAAGAAAAACTTTAGGTACTTAGTAGGAGAGCAGTAAGAACAGTTTTTAGGAAAACCAGTTTCTTGATAACTTCTGAAGTACGACTTGCCTAACAAGGGTGTGCATGGGTGTGTGTGTAAGTGAGAAATGAGCTACAACGACAGAAAAGCTGATTGAATGAATGTGTTTGGTGAGACACCATCATTGTTGAGGATGAATGTCAAAGCCTTGCCACAATGCACATATTCATAAAGAGATGGAAGTGTGATCGTGTATGAATCTGCTTAAGAGAGGCAAAGGAGTGAAGGAACATGATTTCAGGACTAGCACAGTAATTAGAACAGCAGTGTGCTAATTAAGACTCATAAATTTAATGAAACTATTAGCATTTTCTCTTGCAAGAAAAGGTGGATGTTTTTTCCCCAGGAAATGACACCTGTGAACAATTATCTCTCTTATCATTGCTATTAAGATTATTTACATAAGTTGTGCTCATTTAACATTCTCTGCTGTTAATGATATTTTTACAACACCTGATCTCACAGTAAATTCACTCACTCTGGCTAGGAAAGTACTTTGAGATTATTGATAATTAATAGGGTAGTACAAATAGACAAGATCATCATTAGGGGACCTCCTGTATGTTGTTTTGCTTTGTCTTTGTGGGCAGCATTTTTGTTTGATAGGAAATGTTTCTGAATCTTTGAGTGTCTGTAAGAGCCTGGTGGGTTATGGACACCATGAACACACCCTCCCCCTTTGCTGTTGTCCAGCTCAGTGGTTCCTTCCATGAGGTCACCCAGCACCTACTCTGTGATGGACCTGGGGGGATGGGGGAGGCCTATGATATAGCCATGAATAAAAAATATCCTATTATTGCACTGAATAAGAATGGTTATAATGGCATTCTTTAGATACAACTACACAAACTCCTCCTAGGAAAAATAGAAGTGTCATGGTGGGGGTTACAATAAGGCCAGCTCAAGTTGGCTTAAACCATGAAGCAAGTTCATTAGCATATTAAACTTGTTGGGCTTTTAGATATGGCTTAATCTAATGTCTCTCTGATTAAATTCATTAGGCTCATATTTATTGAGACCTGTAGGCACTAGGAATGCGTAACATAAGACAGACAAGGTCCATATGCTCATTTAACTTACATTTTAGTGAAGGATACAGACAACAAATAGGAAAAATACAAGAAAATGCCCTGAGCCGACACAGGGAGCAGCAGGCCCTCTGCAGGAGGAGGAACAGAGTTACGAATGGGCCATATTAACTTCGAGAAGCCAGCATTTGTGCTCGCCATCCACTTCAGTCAGGAATAGGGTGGCCCAAGCCCCAGAGCACAGTTACCAGTCTGAATAAAAAGCAATCAGTGGGAACCAGCAGGGTGCCCCCACAAGCCCAGGTGTCTGAAATCCAGTTATCAAAATAAATGGGGAACAATCTATGGGAGTCAGGGTACCCCAACCCCATCAAAGTCTTTTACTTCTTTATTTTCTTATTTTTATTTTATGTATTTTTTACTTCATTTTTCATATTTGCACAATGTATGCATTTTCATCTTGGTTATAGTCCCCATACAATTCCCACCCCCCTAAAGCCTTTTACTTCTTATTAGAAGTAACAATGAGCATTTTTTCATATGGCCTTGGCCTTCTGGATGTATCTCTTTGGTGAATTGTCTGTTCATATCTGCTGTCTATTAATTGGACTTTTTTTATTGTTGAATTGTATGAGTTTTTTATGTATCTTGGATATTAATCCCTTATCAGTTATATATTGTGTAAATATTTTCTCCCATTTAGTTGGTTAGCTCTTCATGTATTTTCTTTTGCTGTGTAGAAGCTTTTTAACTTGAAGTACTGTTTATTTTGTTTTGTTTTGTTTTAAAGATTTATTTATTTATACAAGAACTGGGGTACAGTCCAGATGCACAGGAGGGTAAGAGGATTTACCAGAGACAGAGTGGGGAACAGAACAGGCAGACTGATGAAATACACTGCTGAGGGGAGCAGCGGGCGAGACAGGAGAGAGGTCTGCTGCGACATGTGGGACCCTTGCCGCCCCCCGAGATCGATCCGGTGCTGCAGAGGCTGCGTATAGCTTCACAGCGCAGCACTCAATCGCCTGTGCCACCAGGGGAGGCCCTATTTTTGTTTCTAATTCCCTTGCTATGGGGGTGGGGAGGGGGTGTTGAGTCACCAAAAAATGTCTTTATTGTTGCTATATGGAACATATTGCCAATGTTTTCCTTTATATATTTTATTGTTGCAGGTCTTATTATCTAAATCTTTTATCCATTTAGAGTTTATTTCTGGTTTTGGTTTGTCTTGTCTTTTTTTTTTTTTTTAAAGATTTATTTATTTATACAAGAACTGGGGTACAGGCCAGAGGCGCTGGAGAGTGAGAGGATTCACCAAAGACAGAGCAGGGAGCAGAACAGGCAGACTCACTGAAATACACTGCTGAGGGGCATAGTGGGTGAGTCAGGAGAGGTCTGCCGCGCCATGTGGGACCCTCGCCAGCTGGCCGGGATCGAACCCGATCGAACCCGCACTGCAGAGGCTGTGAACAGCTTCACAGCGCTGCGCTCAACCGCCTGCACCACCAGGGGTGTCCAAGTCTTTTTTATCCTTTGAGGACTTCCTGTTATAGTTTGTTAAAGTTCCTTTTCAGTTGTCATATGTGTTGCTTCTGTTATCTCTTGTTTGAGGGTTCTACTGAGGTTAGTAAATGAAGAGCTGCTTGTGTGACCATTGTGCTATCTGGCCACACTGTTACTTTCCTCCTCCTCCATGTTAAGTGATTTACGTCTGTTCCCTCCACACTCATTGTTCTGTTGCTTTATAATAACCCACGAGGATTTCTTTCTTGGGAGGCTTAGTGTTGATAAAGCCTTTTAGTTTTTGCTTTTCAGTGAAGCTCCTTACTCTCCTTTCTATATAGAATGTTAATCTTGCTGGGAGAGGGTTGGGGCTAGAAGTCTTTTTCCTTAAGTACTTGAGGATCACCTTCCAGCTCTTCGGTGCTTATAGTGTTGCTACTGCGAGGGGCACGACAGTCTCATCAGGGTTCCCACAGGTCACCTTTCTTTCTCTTGATGTTTTTAATATTCTGTCCTTGCCTTTGGTTTTTAACAGCTTTATTATGATGTGTGTTGGTGTGCACTGGAGGCGGTATTATTTTGTACGGAGCTCTTTGATCCTCCTGGATTACGCCGTCTGGTTCATTTCCCAGATTGAGATGTTTTTCGATGATTATTCTTTAAATAAATTTCCTTGGCTTCCTCTTCTCCTTCTGTGACCCCCATGATACAGAGATTATTTTTCTTTAAATTATCACACAGGGCTCTTACACTTTTCTTTTTTTTTTTTTTTAATTCTCTTTCTACATTATTCTATTTGTGTTCTCCAACATTGTATTCTTGAGCTCATTAATTCTCTCCATTGCTTCTGTTTGTTTGCTATTGAGGTCCTCAATTGTATTTTTTAAACTATAGTGTTTCTTAGTGAATCCGGCCTTAAGGGTCTAGGGACCTCCAGAGGCTCCTCTCGGTTCTTGACTTGGCAAGGGAAGAATTCAACTCAAAACCAGAATTAGGAGAGCAGCGAGAGATTCACTGATACATAAGAGGAACACAGGAAAGTTCTGTGAGCAGAGAATGGTACCGAGTGCATAGCCACTGAGAGGCTAAAGAGCAAGAGAGTGTGTGAGTGTGTGAGTGTGAATGTGTGTGTGTGTATGTGTGTGTGTTGGGTTGTTAGAAGAGTCATAACAGGGCCTCCCTGGTGGCACAAGGGGTTAAGCACCGCACTATGAAGCAATCCGCAGCCTCTGCAGCACAACTTCGATCCCCGGTGGGCCAGGGAGCAACCCACATGGCGCAGTAGACCTCTCCTGTCCTGGTGAATCCTCTCATCCACCCCCCTGCCCCCGCATCTCAGGCCTGTGCCCCGGTTCTTGTATGCATAAATAAATCTTTAAAAAAAAAAAGAAAAGTCATAACAACCCAAAAGTC